TTACTTGGGGAAAATTACACCACAAATTAACTCTAATTGTAGTGTTATAAAACAACACTATTTAGTGTGGACCTGTGTGAACTCTAATTAGTGTTGCTTAGAATTGATTTTTTTTTACTGTGTAATTAATAATTTTAACCAGTTTTAAAAAGTATTTTACAGGATTTAATAGCCTAAAATCGTAATATTTTGAAAGCTGGACTTAAATCTAAGTTATTAAAATACAATTTTGAGGCGTATAGAGAATTTAAACGGTCTCTAAACCATGCCCCGACTTTGAATTAAAACCTTTCATAATCCATATAAAAGTACTGAATATTCGAAGCGTTAAATTTTCTTTGGCATGTATTAATTTGCAAATGAAATTGAAAACCAATTAAAACGTAAAAAATCGTGCTGACAAGTGAAAAATATGTTTTGATGGACAAATGAATGCCTTTTACTTAATATTATGTGTAATTTAAATAAAAATCTATTACAGTACAGCATCAGGGCCGGGAAGTATAACAATTTTTTTTCAAACGTCGAATCCATAAAATATTCATTTTTCGTAAAAAAAAAATCAATTTTTAAACTTCAAAATTTTTAAATTTGTAGTCAAAAAATTATTGGCGGCAAGAAACAATATTTTAGCATAAAAGAGTATTTATTGCTTGAAGATTAAAGTTTGTAGTTCTCTTGAAAACAAATACAAAATCTCTTGAATGTTTCTTCTTTCAACCCAGTGCAAAGTGTTTTTATTCGAAAGCTACACTGTTTAAAATATCTGTGGTGTAAAAAGTAATCTTAAAATGGTGTCAAAATCCAACACCAAGTGGTGTTAATATAACACCATGAATTATGGTTGAAAATGTGTACCGATCGCGGCAAAGGCGGTGTGGATCACGTGATGTTCTTAAATCTCGCCTTTGTTGACTTAAATGAAGAATATATAAACTCAGGTGGTCCTTTGCTTTGGTGTGACACTACAAGTTGTTCGATACTAAAGAGACCTTAAATAGGTGGAAACAGCTGTCAATACTTGAAGTCAGTGGCGGCTGGTGGATTTTGGGCACACCCATATCTCAGTTATTAGACATGGGACCCACATCAAATTTATATGAGTTTATAATGACATTATATAGACAAGTTCTGCGCAAGCATAATTTAAATTAAAGTTTGCGAAAAAAAGTTAGTTTTTAAGTGCAACCCCCAGCCTCCTGCCCCTCCAAATTAGGATAATTCAAATTAAAGTGGTACAATATTTAATTCAATGAAGTTTATCGACAAATTTCAAATTTTATTAAAAAAATTCAAGAATCACAGGTTTTATACCACTTATAATTTTTATTATTTCTTTTACTAAATTAAAAAAAAATTGAAATGGTATAAAATCTGTATTACTTGAATTTTTTTAATAAAATTTCAAATTTATCGATAAACTTCAGTGAATTAAATATTGTACCACTTTAATTTGAATTATCCTAATTTGGAGGGGCAGGAGGCTGGGGGTTGCACTTAAAAACTAACTTTTTTTCGCAAACTTTAATTTAAATTTTGCTTGCGCAGAACTTGTCTATATATATATATATATATATATATATATATATATATATATATATGGGTCCCATGTCTAATAACTGAGATATGGGTGTGCCAAAATCCACCAGCCGCCACTGCTTGAAGTATTTTAAGTTAGTGGAACGCACTAAAAACATTATCTCTAGCGAGTTGAAGGTTCCATTTTCTGGAATAATACCACTGGTAATATACTAGTAATGCGTCAAGGAACTTCCTGTTTCCTTTTTTTCCTTTTTTCTGTGTAGTATGATTTAATTTGACCACAAACACATAATATTTAACACTGAAAAGGAGTTTAGTATTTGAGTTTACACCGGCCAACGAACCATATTTAACACCATTTTGGTTTGTATCGATATAGACCATGTATGGTGTTAATTTGGTGTTAAAATGGTCATGAAATTTTGAACAGTGTATGAAAATGATTTATATTTACGCAATTCATTCAAGATACATCACAATTATCCCAATAGCATGTCAATTTTCTAACAAAATCTGGTAGCTTTTGATACGAGGGGTGTTCAGAAAATAACGGGAATTGTTAAATTTCGCGGGTTCGGAAGGTCCGGTTGTCATAAAATTTTCTGTATTATGTTGGTATACATGCCCCCGAAGTATGATAAAAACTTTAGCTGTTTTCATTGTTTACTTTGTCTGTGGCAGCCACTAAGGTTAGACGTGTTTTATGAGCTCGGTGATTTTTCGTTCGTTAAAAGAAATGGATCAAAGAATTTGTATCCAATTTTGCTTAAAAAATAGAAATAAATTCTGTGAAATGTTAACAAAGGCCTATAGTGAGTCTGCTATAAGTAAAACAAGAGTTTACAAGTGGTATAAGAGTTTCCAAGATGGCCGTGAAGACATTGAAGATGACAAACGCTCCGAACGCACAAGCACATTAACAACCGATAAAAACATGAAAAAAGTGGAAGAAATGGTTAAAAACCATCAGAGAAGTCGCTGATGATGTTGGTATATCGATAGGCTCATCCCATGAAATTGTTTCGAATGTTTTGGGTATGAAACGCGTGGCAGCAAAATTTGTTCTAAAATTGTTAAATGCCCCAGCCTCCATATTCGCCAGACATGCCTCTGTCTGACTTTTTCCTATTCCCAAAAATAAAGAGAACCTTAAAGGGCCGTCGTTTTGCAAGCATAGATGACATTAAAAGCGCATCGCTGAAAGAACTAAAGGCTATCCCAAAGATCGAGTTTTAGAAGTGTTTCGAGTATTGGAAGAAGAGCTGGCACATGGGCATAATATCCAATGGGGACTATTTTGAAGGCGACAACATTAATGTAGACGAATAAATTCTTTTTTCTCTGATATTTTATTTGTTTCATATGTATATTTTTATCCATCCATATAAATATATATTTATAAGTTCCAGATATATATATATATTTTAAAGTTTTAAAAAAGGAATTTATGTTTTTGAGTTTTGGCAATTTGGGTTTAGATTGCTTTGATATTTTCTTTGTTTTGTTTTTATTTTTTTATTATAATGGTTTAGTAGGGATATCATCGGCCATTTAATAAAAATACTTGTGTGTTTAATATTGTAGTGCAACTTTTTTGTTTTATAATAAGGGGATCTCTAAATTGGATTAAAATTTCCGTAATTTCATTACGAACCTAAAGTTTTGTTTAACTAATAATCTATAATTGGAAAACTTGGGCTCATTTGTCAAAGATGAGACGGCAAGAATTGAAATAAGCTACTAATAACTTGTTTATTGCAATGTATGTAGTTCATCTTTTTTTTAATCACAAAATCGATGTTCTTTAACTCAAGTTTCTTTTGATTACGAGAAGTTTTGAAACTTTGTTCATCTTAAAAAGTGTTTTTGACAGTGCAAGTCATTTAAAAAAATAAAATACTTTTTATGTAATATTTTCTTACCCATTGAATTTTTGACAATAGAAACCATCGATGAGAACGCTAAAAAATATTTTTTCAGCAACCGCGGAACATTTCAGTCTGTATCTGAAGCGCGTGTTTCAGAGGACGCACCGACCGCTGAAAATGCTGCTCGACGAAGGACTTTTCAGCTGCGACTGCTGAAACGCTGAAAACTGAACGCGCCGCCGAATTCTTTCAGCTGTGAGTTGCCACTCAAATTTCAGATGCGCTTGTCCTCCAACGGCCGGATACATTTCGAGACTATGGAGGAATAAAGTTTTTGTTTGATCAAGTTTGATGATAATTTTGTACATCCCATGGGGATAAATACCTACCTTTGATTAGCATTCAAAGGGTTAATTAATCAAAAGTTTTATCTTGGATCGTCTGCAAATAAAATATGCCCGGCCATGTTTTAAACTGTGGCAAGTCGTTGGTGTAAATTAAAAATAATAGTGCACTAATAGTGGATCCCTGGGGTTCACCATGTATTTTTTCTCTTTGCTTAAGGGGTTAAAATAAGTGACATATATTTTAATAATAATAAATAATAATAATAAATAATGATTTGTATATTTCCAAACACTTATTGTACTTCAAATAGCAAATTTTATTTGTAATTTTAATGATTATCTTAGTAAAATTAAATTCCGAATAAGTATAGAAATGTAACAAAATTTCAAGTTCTCACATATTTTGAGACCAACTGGATTTGTTTTTAAATTTTAAACTTTTATTTAACACAATTTTTTTTATTTTTAAGTTTTGTATTAAATTTACTGCGACTAATGATGATATACTTTTTTAATACCTACCAAACTTTCCAAACTTTTAATAAAAATAAATTTTCCTCTAAAACACTTTTTTGATTCTTTTAATCAGACCAGAATAAAAGTAAAAAAACTAAAAAGCTATTTTTCTTCAAATTTCTTTGTGTGTTCCATTTTACCTGCTTTACACATACAAAAAATACAACGATAAGAAAATTGCTTTGAAGCAAAAAAAGTTAAGTTAATTACGGTTCAGGGAATAAGAAAACTTCAAACAAATCATTTATACATTTATTTTATACACTAGAAATAAATAAATCACACATATATACACTAACTTTAAAAATATACCTAAATAAATAAATAGATATATATGGGTGATTCTACAAAAGTTGGACAACTTGATGTCATCAGTCAATAGAGTAGGTATTTTAATATTTTTTGCAAATATTTTAGTATATTACAAAAGATCCAGGTTTTTTTAACTTGTCCACCAATTTTAATGTATTTTTTCAAAATTAAGTTTGTAGAAAAACATAATAAATATTCAAAACATCAGTACCTTGGCGTCACAACTCCTGAATCAAATATTTGAGTGATTTTATTTTAAAATATATTTCATATATATTCATATATTCAATTTATCTTAAATTTTTCAATTTCACTGCAAACTTTAAAACATTATATAATGTATTTTTTATATTTTATTATAGATTCGAATAATAGCAATTTTTAAAAAATTGATAATCTTTGTACTCACTTTTACCCGTCAGTTCTATGTCCAATGTTAAAATTCAAAATTCCTGCGAAATATTGAAGTTTAAACGTCAAGTCCTCGTTTTAACTCAAGTGTTGGTAAAAAATTACCTACAGAGCCCGCCCTTTGCACGACAGTCATCTTGAAAACAATGCAAGCGGCGAAGTTGTGGTGAATGCACGTATAGTTCCAGTCAAAATTTCAGTACTGTATAGTAGTATATATATATATATTTCATTGTAATTTATATAAGGCTACATGTGATTGGTTGATAAGTAGCATCCACTAATAAAAAATATCAGTAAAATACTTAATTCCGAATTATAATCTCAAATTTGTATCCCATTCATCAGTACCGTGTCGTCAGTTCCATGTTCGATGTTTCGGTTATCTTTTTTTCGCAAACTTTAATTTAAATTCTGCTTGCGCAGATCTTGTTTATTTAGTGTCATTATAAACTCATATAAATTTGGTGTGGGTCCCATATCTAATAATTGAGATATCGGTATACCCAAAATCCACCAGCCGCCACTGATGTGTGGTGTTATTTGATTTTAAGATATTTAATGTATTTATTTGCAATAAATCTTATATTTTCCAATAAAATATGTATTTAATTAGTACCCTGGTATACTCGTCACTTCCCTTGCATTCAAATTTAGAAAACACAGATATTTCAGAAACTGTTTGAAAAAGTTACTGGCCCGGTCTGGAACAGTATATTTATTATATTATCTATGTTCTCATAACAAAATACTGTTTAATTTTCTCCGAAAACTATTCAAACAAAATGAAGTCAAAAGTTGCCCAACTTTTGTAGAATCACCCATATATATATATATACAGGGCCACCTAATAAATTGTCATGATGATAGTACAAATCAAATTAAGAAAGTTTTTCTTCTATCATTTGACAATCTATTTGGTGACACCCTATATTTATATATAAATATAAATGGCGCATTAATGTGCTTCTTTTAAGCTATCACAAGCTGTAATACCATTGCTGACGCAGGACGCAAAAGCCATTAGATGGGGTATTACATTTTCCTCCATCACTCCAGTGAAGAGATGGGACCATGGGCCTCTAGCAAATATACCAACGTCGTCACCTCCGTGGGTTTCATAGGCCATGGGGTAGATTACCGGGTATCTATAGTTAATATCAGCTAAAAAGTAGTTCGTATACATTTTGTACAGTTTAGAAGAAAATGTCTACTTACTTAGATCATCTTTGGCGAAGTCATGTCTATTTCCGGAATCATCCATGATGTTGTACCCCAAACCATTAGCATAGTTGAGCGTGGTGTATAGGTAACCGTCCATATCCTGCCCAGCATAACCCAAAATGTCGTTACCTCTTGCGGGGTACCCGCTAAACGACATAGTGTGAGCATGATCGGACGTCACCACAATGAGAGTGTCTTCTACATCCGTTAGATCCATGGCTTTCTTGATAGCTTTCGCAAACTCAGCCGTTTCGTCCAGGGCCTTCCTAGCTTGCGTTTGGTGGTGCCCCATGTCTATCCTCGCGCCTTCTACGAAAAGAAAGTACCCCTCTTCAGTGTTGTCCAAGAGTCGTATGGCGGTTTCGGTCATTTCTTCCAGCGACGGGGTTAGAGTGGCGTTTCTTTCCAGATTGAAAGGCATGTGATCATCGGAGAATAACCCTAAAACGTAGTCGGTATCCGGCACGATCCCTTGTAGTTGTTGCTTGTTCCACACATATTGCGCCTTGTCTCCTACCATAACTTTATCACCCAACCACTGCTGTATCAAATTCACCCCGTCAGTTCTATTCCCGTTAACTCCCTCCTCATCTATGGTCTTGTTGGGCAAGAATTGGGCGCGTCCTCCACCCAAGATAACATTTAAATTGTTACCTGGAGCATTGTTCACCAACTGATATGCTATGTCGTGACAAATATTTGGATCTTCTTCGGATTCGTATACATTGGAATCTGCCTCCCAATCTCTGTGAGACGAATGGGCATATAAACCTGAAATTTTTTAATTTTGAGTGTCAACAAACTTCGTTGTAAAATAAAATTGTAAATAATGTCAACGTACAAACCTAGAAACTGTACTGATTTAATTCTTACACAAAAGGTTGCATTCTTATTTTTTGTCCAAACTTTTTGTTCTAAAGTAAAATTGTAAATAATTTTGTACTAAAAACGTGTCTTTATCAATTTAACAATGTCAACGTACAAACCTACAAAATGTACTGTTTTAATTCTTATACAAAAGGTTGCATTCTTATTTTTTGTCCAAACTTTTTGTTGTAAAATAAAATTGTAAATAATTTTTTTTCTAAAAATGTGTCTTTATCAATTTAACAATGTCAACGTACAAACCTACAAACTGTACTGTTTTAATTCTTATACAAAAGGTTGCATTCTTATTTTTTGTCCAAACTTTTTGTTGTAAAATAAAATTGTAAATATTTTTTTTCTAAAAATGTGTCTTTATCAATTTAACAATGTCAACGTACAAACCTACAAACCGTACTGTTTTAATTCTTAGACAAAAGGTTGAATTCTTATTTAGGTCCAAACTTTTTCTCAAAAACCTTTATTAGGTACTAGATTAAACTGTGTCTGAACTTAACCGATTTATTTTCATTTTGTGGCCATTTAAAGATTAATTGAAAGTTATATTGACTTTAACTCGAATATATTTTTGGTTCGGTAAAGATAAAGACATTTAACTTAATTGAATTTAACTTTAATCTCTGCGTTATAATAAATTTTACTAATCTTTTCTACAATTTGTCTGTTTTATTTTAAAGCCTAAACCAGACAATTTTATTGTCACTCCCTTTTTCAGCGGTGTTTTTATTACCTTATTTTAGAGGTGAAAATACTTTTTAATGTGTTTTCTCGGCTTATTTGATATATTCTGTGGGGTTTATTCTTTAGCAATTTTTAAAAGTGCCCCTAAGGCTATTATTGAAGTTCTACTTTAAAGTAGGTAATGTAAACAATATCTCAAAAATTATAATGTAATACTAATTAATTTAAATTTGCATAGAGCTTGGTCTATAGTAAAAACATTACATAAGTGGTTCTACACTAATGCAAGAATTTTAGGAAATCATACATTTTGAATATTAGAGCTTCACGGAAGATAGCTTCACGGAGGTTAGGATTTCGTATGTTGTTTTTATACCTCCCTTTGTATATTTGAAATAAGTTGTTTTTTACCTGCTGGGGAAGCATGGGTGACCCTGGCAGTGGTGACTAGTCCAGTTTTCTTGCCTTTTTTTTGCGACCACTGTGCTATGGAGTCCACAAAGTTGCTGGAGTTTGTCATTCCTAGACAGTCCCCCTTTTTGACTTTAGCGTTTACTCCCAAAGTGCCTATGTTGGCCTTTACTCCTCCCAAATAGGCTGTGGCCGAACAGGCGGAATCGGCCACTTGCGAGTCCACACAATAAGTCTAAAAAAAAAGTCTTAACCATACGAACTGCACAATATTTTAAAATAAATATGTAGTTTTTTTACAAAATATAGAAAGGCAGAAGTCTTACTCGACAAATTTTGTCCGCAAAGTTTTAATTGCGCAGCTGAATCGCGCACGTTATTAGTGTTTTGCGTTGCAAGTAAAAACTGAAAAACTTTGGTTTAGTAGTTGCATAGTAAAATTACAAAATGTTGTATTGTATTGCAATTTCATTACGCATTTGTTATAATATTACATTTTGTTTTTGTCAGATACTTATAGTAATTTTACAATTCTGTATTGTAGAATTGAATTTGAAATTTTGTAAAATATCTATACATATTCGGAATTTAATTTTACTAAGATAATCAATAAAATTACTTACCAAAATTTTCTATTTGAATTATAATAAGTGTTTGGAAATATACAAATCATTATTTACTTTATACTATTTCTGTTGTAATTTTACAATCTATATATATAAATCCTACAAGCATTGTAATTTTACTTAACAGTTTGACAGTTCCTAATGTCATGTAAAATGCATAGTATGTACCGATCACGTGATGTTCTTACATCTCGCCTCGGTTGACTTAGGTGGACAGTATATAAGCTCAGGTGTCCTTCGTTTTTGGTGTGTTCTAATACACCAAATTGTCCGACATTGATAAGACCCAAAATAGGTCTATCTGTCTAGCTGTCTGTCGGTATTTGAAGTTGGTGGAACGCACTTAAAACAAAAACTCTGGCAAGGTGAAGGTTCAATTTTTTTTAAATCTTTACAGTAATGAGTTAAGAAAGTTTCTTGAAGAAACTAAGAAAATTGCAGGTTTTTTTCGTAGTATAATTACAATACCATCATTCGAAAATTACTAAATATTTTTAGTGTAATTTGTTGTATAAAATAACAATATCTGTATTGTAATATTGCGAAACAAATTTTCTTCAGTTCAGTAAAATTGTAAAATATATTTTGTAATTTTCTTAAACTGAGTTGAAATGAATTGTATAGTACAATTACAATACACCATTTTAAAATTACTAAACATATTTAGTATTTTTTTTAGCAAAATTACAATATCTGTAAAGTAATGTTACTGAACAAATTTTTAATAAATGCTCAGGGAATTTCAACAAACGTTTTGTAATTTTTCCAAATTGAGTTGTAATGAATCGTGTAGTGAATTTACAAAACTGAGTTGTACAAACATAACCTTAAAATCTAACATTTTTATATTTGAGTAAACGAAAAAATATATCTACGATGTCAAGGCAACATAATATTATATGTAATAACTTAACTCAGAATTTTTACTTTGAAAAATGTTAACTATAAAAAATGTACTTACCATGGAAAGGCCTGTATGGGGGAATTCATCGAATGGTAATTTTTTATTTTCATTTCCCATGTACATTCTGGCAGCACTGATGGTAGGTATCGACATTCCATCGCCAAGGAATAGGATGACATTTTTGGCTATGTCTAAAATAAAAAGTAGAAATTCTTATGTTTAGATCTTACAATATATATATTTTTTTTTGGTTTAAAAATGTGTTTGACTTCGATTAAAGCTAAGTTCATACTGTTCTGTGCACCACTACAGATTCGAGCTCCGTATCCACATTTCTTACTTTTATTAGGTTTTCTTGTAATTCTCTCGTTTACTGCCAATTGTCCATTCGTTCTCCAATAATCGGTAGTTTTTTCTACTGGCGTTTCATTTTCTATGGATCTTTTTCTGATGTGGCTTTTTGGGATAAAATGCATCAGATGGTCATCTAAAAAACCGTGTTAAGTCAATTATTTGAATAATTAAACCGTGCTCTTCTTATAACTTTTTTTTTGGTAAATTTAATTTGCCAGATCAATGATTGTAGTATTTAAGGTCGGTTTTTAATACTAGTAATGCATTTTTTAACAATTAACATTGACCCACAAACCGTTTAATATTTTCCGTAAAAAACGACTTGAATTTTAATTATTTCTGCAAATAATCCTTGATTAAAAAAATAATTGTTTTTTATTTTATCTCGTTTCGTTAATAATTTATAACTAGGTATATACCTAATAATCATTGCAAAATTAATGTTAACTCCTTGATTGTGATTCTTTAATTGCATTTTAATAGTCCACAAGTTTTTATACAGAAATCAATAATTAGGATTATTTTATGATAATAAATACACCATGGCCAAAGACTATGTATTTATAAATTAGTACAGTATGGCTTGAAGGCAATGAGGCCCAATTTTTATTATAAAATTATTTGGTAAACAGTGTTGCCATATGACTAAAAATGTATTCAATGATTAACTACAAAAAAATATTATTTTATGTTCATAATATGCATGGTTTAAATAATACAACAAACCATAAATAATCTAGTGTTTATGTATTTATATATGCTGTTAATTTAAATAATAATATTTTTATCGCAAACAAGGGTATAAAAACATTGTTAAGAACAATATATATTGCATTTTTTTTTAAATAAATAGCAATAAAACAAAAGGGGTCAAAAACAGCTACTATATTTACCTACCGGTAATTTATAACTCTTTGGTCAAATTATAGTTAATAATTACGAAAATTAGCTAAATTAAACTAACTTGTTATTTTTAAAATAACTAACCTAACCAAAAATCCCGCTTATCTTACGTTTTGATTTAAGTTGCAGATAGATAGATGCTTACCAAATTAATTAAATGTGAGGGGACTGTTTTAAGATTTGTAGATAAATAATTATTTAAAAAAAAATTAAAAAAGAAATTGGGATTTAAACTAACAAACATCTTATTTATTATAAATAAATTGAATTGATTATAAAGTAATTAAAAACATCAATATATTTCATTTTAATTTTTATTTATAATAATAATAATAATTAGCATTTTACTGTATTTTTAATAAATATGTATATATTTTCAATAAATATGGCATAAACTAAACTTCCAACTCTGTTAAACGGTTTCAGAGATCTAGCCTTTTGTAAGTTTATGAGTTATTAAAAATAATAATAATTGGTGCCTTGTTATTTAGTTTTCACGTGTTGAATACTAGCCTGACTAACCCATTAATAATAAATAAAGTACTCTCTAAAAATGAATTAGTCAAATATGACCAATTTAATAGTTATTAGTGGCTGCTTTTTCACTTGTACCATGGTCAAAAATTATGAAAGTGGAGCAGTTTTACTTTTACAACTAATATGGATTTGACTATATCTCAAAAACTGTCCTACAGGGGACAATTTTACATAAGAATTGGCTTAAATTTTGAGATATCATGGTATTCCGTGGTACAAGTGAAAAAGCAGCCACTAATAACTATTAAATTAGTAATTTTTGACTAAATCATTTTTAGAGTTGTCAATCTCACAAAGTGACGTATTTTTTTTTATAATATTACAAGAGAGCAACTTACTGGAGGTTCAAAATATACTACAATAAAATTATTATGGTTTATATCTGTAATTTCATATGTTCATCAAAGTATATTGTTGAACCGAATATTGCAGACATTTTCAAAATGCTTTTCTGTAAAATTATAAAAATGGGTTTGTGAGATTGACTACGATATGCCAAACTTATTGTAAATATATACATATTTATTACAAATACAGTTCAGTGTTAATTATTTACTATATATTAATCATAAAATTTGTTAACCTGAATATTGCAAAAATCTTTTCCTGTAAAATTATAAAAATTTTCTCTAAAATTATAAATCACTTTGCGAGGTTGACGACGATATGTTTCAGTTTGGGTGATTTTTAAAATAAAATACTTGTTTTTTTAAGATGATTTTATTAAGAAAGCGAAGTATATATTTATATATTTTATAAAATCTAATATTTTAAAACCTTTAAAATCATATTCATAGACTTATTATTTAGTCATCTAACTGGTAATTAACAAGTGAATTTATAGTAAATGAATTAGTGAAAAATGACTAATTTAAGTTATTAGTGGCTGCTTTTTCACTTGTACCATGGTTAACCATGGAATACCATGGTATCCCAAAATATAACAGCCAATTCTTGTGTAAAATTGTCCCCTGAATCCGAAAATGTCGTCAAAAATTAAAAAAGTAGAACAGTTTTTGAGATATAGTCAATTTTCCTTTTAATATGGAATTGACTATATCTCAAAAACTGCTCCACTTTTATAATTTTTGACGGTATTTTAGGATTCAGGGGACAATTTTACATAAGAATTGGCAGTTAAATTTTGGGATACCATGGTATTCCATGGTTAACCATGATACAAGTGAAAAAGCAGCCACTAATAACTATTAAATTAGTCATTTTTGACTAATTAATTTTTAGAGAGTACTTTATTTATTATTAATGTCAGGCTAGTATTCAACGTGGAAATGAAATAACAAGGCACCAATTATTATTATTTTTAATAACTCATAAACTTACTTTTAAAAGTATTAGCTAGAACTCCTAAAACGTTTAACAGCTTTGGAAGTTTAGAATCTATTATGTCCATGTCAACATCCATGTTTAAGGACCTTTTATTTTTTTTTGGCATTCAACACCATAGAAAAATATTATTATGTACTTACACAATCACTGCAACAGTTTATACTCAATACAAATTTCCTTATTATATGAAAAATGATACAAAAGCACAAACAGAGCACAAACCAAATATTAATAACAAATAAATTCGACCCAAAGAAATATTTTTTTTATAATTTTAGAATATATTGTTAGTAAATAAAATTGATTTACAAAAAATTTTCTGTATTATATAAATAAAAACGTCTCAAATAAATATTAACCCTGGTATTTCTTTCAGTGTAGCTGAGTCAATCCAGTGAAAAAAAATCTCCTGAAGAGACCTCTTAAAATTGAATGTAGGTGTGATTAGTTTTAATTATCCACGTATTAGTGACGTTTTTAAACCCATATTTGAATAAAAATAATTATTAATATCTTTTATTGGAAATATTATTAGCAATTATGAATGCCCCGTGCATTAGTGAGTGACTATCAAGTTACTGCTGGTGTTATCTAATAATATAAAAATAATAAAAAATATTTTTTTATATAGTATAACGTGATTATAAAACAACGAAAAAATACAGAACTATTAAAATAGTTCACGTGTAAATTTTTTTAAATAAATTTAAAATAATTGATAAAAATTGCGACTAAAGGAAATCGCACATTACTTATTTAAAAGTCTTTGTATTGGATAATGAAATGCAATTGTTTGATTGTTTGGATATTTGTATGGCAAATTATAACTTAAACCTTACCTTTTGACTCGAAGTTGGGTCTGCCTTTAACCTGGCAAATTGAAAAAATCACTATTATCACAGGCACACAAAAACAATTTAAAAGTCGCATGTTTAAAGTATGAATGAAGCGCGCTTTAAGTCGAGCACTGTCGCAATTTTTATATCCTCGTTCCCACTTTTTTTTTTGGCTTGAAACGACAAGATAATTCATTGGCTTTTGTTAATAGTAATATTCATTGTCACGATGCTCATTGAAGCTCAAATGGATAACAAATTTTAGGTGAAATCAATGTTTGAATTCGATCTGTGAATATAAGAACAGTACAAGTCCAAAATTTGACATTTTCATCTGAAAAAGCCTTATGAAAAATTGTCCCCTGAATCCGAAAATGTCAAAAGTTAAAAAAGTAGAACAGTTTTTGAGATATAGTCAATTTTCCATTTAATATGGAATTGACTATATCTCAAAAACTGCTTCACTTTCATAATTTTTGACGGTATTTTAGGATTCAGGGGAAAATTTTACATAAGAATTGGCTGTTAAATTTTGGGATACCATGATATTCCATGGTACAAGTGAAAAATCAGCCACTAATTACTATTAAATTAGTCATTTTAGGCTAATTCATTTTTAGAGAGCAATAATTTTAAATTCTAAAGATTATTATAAGAATTCTGTGTCAGAATTTTATTGAGGTTAAGAACAGTCCAAGTCCAAGTTTATTTTTTTTAAATAAAATTTTTTTTTTAGTTTAATGCACGTCTAAAATCATTTACCTGAAAAAAGTTAATAAACATTTTATTTTGTTTTCTCAAAATTCAAACATTTGGACATGTACTGTTCTTATTCTCACCGATTCTTTTATATATTTTATCATTTTTTTTTATTTACAATTTTCTTTATCAGCTGTATTTAAAATACATATTTTGTATTTTAATTTTAATTACGTATATTTGATTGAGGATGTTTTAATGACGGTTCAGCATACTTGAATGTCTTTTTAACAATTTAACATACATAGACAAGTGCAGAAGCCTTTAAAAATGGTAAAAAGAGAAAAAAAATAACAGTAGGATAAAACCCATTGGAAAAGGAGGGGAATATAATAAAAATTAAAGGAAAAATAAATTACGGGCGATCTGAGTTCGGGAAGTGGGAGGGGGGGGGTTTAAGGGTAAAAAATGGTTTATCTCGATTTCCGGCAAAACTACAAGTCCTATGGAAAAAAGTTAAATGTCAAAGTTGTAGGTAATAAAAAGATCTACAACTTTTGTATTTACAATTTTTTCACATAACCTCAAAATTTATGTGAAAAATTCAAAAAACCAAGTTTTTGGTTTTTTATTTTTATATTTTTCAAAAAAAAAATTTTTTCCACGAAGTTTGGTGAAAACTTACCTTTTTATGTCCCAAATACACTGTAATTTATTTGATTTGAAATATTTATTATTTCGCCTTATTTTGACTTAATATAAAAAAAAGCACCCTAATTTTCAATCGAAAATTCTCGCGTCAAAATATCAGCTTTTTTCAAAAAGTCGGTGTGCTTTTTGTTCGATGAACTCTCTACTTTCTGATGGTGTAAAAAAAAATATACATTACCATGGTAAATGTTCTCAGAAAATACAAAAAATATTATAATGAATAACGTAATCAGAATGAAGTATCTAAATTCAATAGTATGATTTACATGTACTTTTATATTTTATCTTCTCCTTTTCCAATGGGTTTCATCCTACTGTTATTTTTTTTGGTTTCAAAAATTATCGACCCTGGTCTAACAGTTGTTACGAAAAAGAAGTACCTACACAATAATATTTATTTTACGACAGAAAGTCCTTCTTTATTAAAAGTTCTGCTTGTTAAGAAATAGTATCAAGTTTGATAAACGCCATTTTAGTCACGAATTTAATTTAGGCACCAGCGAGCTTGCGAGCGAGTTCTTAACTGAATGAGGGTCTAGAAAAGTTTATAAACGAGTTGAATACTATCCTTTTTTTGGCATTCTAGAAAATTTTAAAGCTTTCGAAGAGCATGAAAAATATTTTTTAAGTATTAAACAATATGTAAAATTTCAATTAAAGAATAAAAAAGTGAAAAATATTTCTTTTTGTTATTTCACTTTTTTAAGTGCCTAAACGTCCGGTCTCTACAAATTAATATCCATCGCCTATTGTGGGGATTTTTTAAAGCAATTTTAATAATAAAAATACCATAAAAATGCTATGCAAATTTGACATTTTAATTAGCCACGAGTAAACATCTAAAATAAATAAATAAAATCTGTCGGACGGTTCTAACCTTACTTTCTAAAAATCATTATTGTCGCTGTATTTTTACAGATGTTTGACATTTGACAACTACCAATTAGATAGCCATAACGTGTAAAGGTGGAAGTAAAAAACTTATACTAAACTATAAAGGGGGTAGCGGGGTTAAGGGGGGTCTGCGGCCCCCACCGAATCTGGTAAAATCGTTCCAAAAATCTTGAAGAGGGTCGAAAAACAAGCAGTATAAGCTTTTTACCGACATTACAACCCCAAACGAAAACACAGTAATGGCGAAAAAATATGATTTTTTGTGATTTTTATTTTTTTTCAACCAGTTTAATTTATTTTTAAATGGTTTAAACGCAATTAAAAAACTGTTTTGGATGTATGGTAGTCCCCTGAATTTTTTCAGATTTTTTGGTCAAGTAAAAACATGTGAATTTTAGGTTTAAATGCGAAAAAATCGTGAAAAACGCGTCATTTTCAAGATTCAACCCTCTAATTTTTAGGGTTGTTTTCATTTTCCCGAGGGGTGCTGTATAGTATAGATAGCGGCAATCGTCCTCTTTTGAATGCAGGCAACTGGACTCAATTTGGTCAATTCTGGTGAGCGGGGCGATTTTTTGAAAAAAACTCGAATTTTCAACTTTCGGTAAATTACGGCGCGTACTTGGTATAATGCGTCTTTGCTATAAAAAATACATTTCTATAGGGGTTTTTGAGGTCGCTGATCACGAAGTTGATGTCAAAAAAATTTTTTGACAACAAATTCACCCATAAATATTTACACAGGTTTGATAATGTAAAAAATATCATTGAATCACAGCATTTAAACAATTTTAATATCGTTTTCAACTAATATAATCAATGAAATTAAATTTTCTGGTATAAATCATATTTTATTCAAGCTTACGTAATAGTCACACAGTAATATAAAATAGCATAATACTTTTTTACAGAGCTAAGTTAACAATTTTACAGTTTTAATCCTCGTCACTATCTTCTTCAATAACATGTTCAACGCTTTGAACAGAGAAAAGATTTGTGAGAATCTGTGCTGGACGAATAATTCGCGACAAATATCTTTGTTGTCAAAAAATTTTTTTGACATCAAATTCGTGATCAGCGACCTCAAAAACCTCTATGGAGATGTATTTTTTATAGCAAAGACGCATTATACCAAGTACGCGCCGTAAATTACCGAAAGTTGAAAATTCGAGTTTTTTTCAAAAAATCGCCCCGCTCACCAGAATTGACCAAATTGAGTCCAGTTGCCTGCATTCAAAAGAGGACGATTGCCGCTATCTATACTATACAGCACCCCTCGGGAAAATGAAAACAACCCTAAAAATTAGAGGGTTGAATCTTGAAAATGACGCGTTTTTCACGATTTTTTCGCATTTAAGCCTAAAATTCACATGTTTTTACTTGACCAAAAAATCTAAAAAAATTCAGGGGACTACCATACATCCAAAACAAATTTTTAAATGCGTTTAAACCATTTAAAAATAAATTAAACTGGTTGAAAAAAATAAAAATCACAAAAAATCATTTTTTCGCCATTACTGTGTTTTCGTTTGGGGTTGTAATGTCGGTAAAAAGCTTATACTGCTTGTTTTTCGACCCTCTTCAAGATTTTTGGAACGATTTTACCAGATTCGGTGGGGGCCGCCAGACCCCCCTTAACCCGCTACCCCCCTTTGTCAAAAAAAACCTCTTTTAAATTCACGTTTTTAATTCATTTCAAAAAGAGTGACTGGCTAAATGGACTACAATCCAAAGCCAAAAAAAAAATCAAATTAAAATTGTTTTGTTTATTCAGTGGGATTTTTACGACTCAACCGCTTAATCAACTTTTATAATTTATAATTTTGTGTGTACTAAAAATATATGTATGTATGTGTAAAAATAAAACCATATTGATATTTGTACTTTTTATTTATTTTGCATTAATTATAATTTTGTTACCTATATATCTATCTATTTATATACACATAATATTAAAATAAAACCATTTAAGATATTTAGGTATTTACCTTATCTAAAAAAAGGTTTACCACAATTTTTGCCGTCATTGGTTTATCATTTTTCCTTGGAATATATAAATAACCAAAAAATAAACAATATAAATAATTACATACACTAAACTACTATGTACTATGGCCATGATTAATTTTAATATATGAATTTACATAGGTATATATAGTTTTTGATAATTTTTCGTAATTAATCCCGGCGAATTCACCATTTTTGCAACAAAAATTAAATAATAAAATTTCGACACGGTCGTTATACCAAAAACAGTTTTTTGAGATTCTAGACTAGATATTTGACAAATTTTTAAATAAAAAAAAAGATTAAAAAAATTTACACATTTGTACATTTTGGTGGTCAAATTAAGCTAATTTATCCACTTCATCACAGTTAATATCGTTGCTGACGCAAGCAGCTACCCCCAAGAGATGAGGAATGACATTTTCCTCCATAACTCCAGAAAAAAGATGGGACATGGGCCCCCTGGCATATATGGGCACATCGTCCGCACCATGGGTCTCAAAACGTAAGGGTACGTTGGAAGGTACTCTATAGTCAAGTTTTTCTGTGTAAAAAAATATATGTATATATTTTTTGTTATATCTGATATAATTTAGAAGTGATAAGTTCAGTTCGTATTTTCGTTGTTTTTACTTACTTAATTCTTCTCTACTGGGCAGGTATCTTTTACCATCTTCAGCGTAAGGCTTATACCCAGCTCCATTGGCATAGTTCAATATTGGGTAGGGTATTGCGTCGATACCAAGCCCTGCGTAACCAAAAACATCGCTGCCTGAAAAAAATTAATACCTATACCAAAAGGTTTAAACACTTTTGATACTGGGACATTTTAAAATGTCTTTCAGACTTTTTATTCGTTTGGTATGTTTTATACCTACCTCTTTCAGCGTGACCACTCATACTCATCGTATGAGCATGATCAGCCGTCACCAAAATAAGTGTATCTTTTTCATTCGTTATATCGACAGCTTTTTGTATGGCTTTGGAGAACTCCAAGGTCTCGTCTAAAGCTTTCCTTGCCCAGGATTCGTGATGAGCCAGGTCTATTTTACCCCCTTCAACGAAAAGAAAGAATCCCTTGTTCTTCTTCTGGAGGAGCCTAATGGCGGATTCGGTCATCTCCACCAGTGAGGGTGTTTTGGTTTTGTTCCTTTCCAGGTTGTATGGTAAATGATTGGTGTCAAAAAGACCTAAGACGTACTCTGTATCATCTGCAAGGTTTGCTAGACCAGTAGAGTTCCAGACGTATTCACAGACGTCTCCTCTATCTTTACGCAGGTTTTTCCACTCCTCCACGAGATTCACGCGATCCGATCTGTACCCAGCTTCACCCTCCTCATCGGTGAACTCCTTGGGCAGAAACATCCTCCTTCCGCCTCCAAAAACCACGTTCAAATTCCCTCCTGTATCACCATGAACCAACTGATGGGCTATATCCTCGCACATTTTGGGGTCTTCCTTGTAATTTAGCACGTTGGTATCGCTCTCCCACTGTCTGGCCGCGGTGTGGGCGTAAATTGCGGCTGGCGACGCATGGGTGACTCTCGTGGTGGTCACCAAGCCAGTCTTTTTGCCTTTGATCTGGAACCAGCGGGCTATGGAGTCCACGTGGTTCTCTTTTTTGTTCATCAAGGTGCAGTTTTGTTTGACCACGGCCGGGCCCACGCCTATCGTGCCCAGCTTGGCTTTCACGCCGCATAGGTATGCCGTGGCGGAGCAAGCTGAATCAGGGGTTTGGTGGTCCACGCAGTAAGTCTTGAAAACAAACGAAAATGTTTGTTAGTTTAGGTTTTTAACGTTGTAAGAGGGTTGTTTTATTACCTTTGAAATAGCCGTGTGGGGAAATTTTTCGAACGCTAACTTCTTCTCCTCCCCTCCCATAAACACCCTGGCTGCCGAAATGGTGGGAAAGGACATCCCATCGCCCAAAAATAGTATCACATTTTTTGCCACATCTACAAAAATATTTTGTGTTTGGAATCAATTCAGTTTTTACTACTTTATTCTAAGTATTCCAGTGAGAATATTCTTACGATCATGCTATATTTCTTCTAAAGAACATGCTTAAAACACATATAGCATGATCCTAAGAATATTCTTACTGGCCTATAGGCAGGTTCTTAGAAGGTGCAAAGTTTAAGAGGTAAAAATTAGTCCACTCTAAACATATGCTTAGAATGTTAAGAAAGTAATTGCCATAAAAAGTTCATTTAGGAATATTCCTGTTAAGCATATTTAGTTCAGTTACCTATATAATAGTAAAATATACCATAAACTACGTATACTTAAGTAGCTAATTAGTAATTAGTATTAAATATTAAGTAAAAACAGAATCCAATAGTATATTAAAGTACAAGTTGCAGAAGGCCACATATTCTCGCACGAATTCGAAATTTGGCCTCGAGCGACGAAGGAGCGAGTGGACGAACGAATGAGTGCGAGAATAGCCTTCTGCAACGTGTGATTTATACTATTTTCTCGATTTTAACTTTTATTTAGGTTTTTTTTATTGTTTTGTGGTCGTTGTTAGTTAGGGGATTTTTCTCGCAAAATGTCAGTTGGCAACACAAAATGACAATATTTGTTATCCTGCACAAGTACAACCTGAACTGCACTTTTACACATTAAACTTAAAATTTTGCATTAAAATGCATTGTTGGAGCAAACTTTATATTACAAAACAATAATAAAGGCTTTATATTCAATAAAAGTAATGAATTTGAGGTTATTAATCAGTTTGACATTTTGGGGGTACCAATACTTAAAAACTAAATGTTACCAAAAATCGTTTAAGAATGAGCTTCATTCTTCAACGATTTTGCGTGCGAGAATATGACATTCTTACATAAAAATCGAGAAAATATTTTTCTATAGTTATTTGTCAAATTAAAACAATATTCGATAACAAAAATACTTTTACTATAGGTATTTTATTTTATGTTAAAAATAAATATTTATTAATTTGTATACCGATTTTTTATTTCTGAATTAACATTTTTATGTATAATAATCCTAAATATCTTCAACTTCAATCTAATCTGACTTATCCCACAAAATTTTCCAATTTTACTTTTTATGAAATAATGTCATACAACTTATGGTTTAGAGGTCAAATTGTTTATTTAATATTTTTAAATAAATATATATTAATATGTCGCAAAAATTTTTAAGGGGACACAAATACATTTCCCTGTCATATTATGACAGTGCGGCGTATTTGTCGTCTCCTGAAGAATTTTACGAATGTAGAATACAACATATTAGAACGTGGGTATCTGACATTTGGAGCTTCCTAGAAGCTCCATAAGAAACCGTCTAAGAACATTCCAAAAAGGTATTCTTAAAACGTTCTTAGGATGCTTTTTAGGAAGGTTTTAAGAAGCTTTTAAGAATCTAATCATTAAAAGGGTATCTATTGAATGTTTTAAAAGTCCCTAAGAACATTCTTAGCAATAAGGGAAGGTTCTAAGAATAATCCATTATTCCGGGTCATATCTTCTTAGAAGATTCTTAAAATTAAATTTTGCTATCAGGGTCTTAGGTACTTACTTTTATTAATTTTCCGGTGTAGTCTTTCATTTATAGCATTAAGTGCGTTTTTTCTCCAGTAATCTATTTCATACTCTTCAAAAATTTCCTGTGTAGGTCTATGAGACGCTTTGTTGTTTGGGTATGGTTCAAAATCTACAGAAAATGTTTAAAAGTGTAGTATTGGTGTTAAAAAGAAAAAAGTGTTTACAGTACGTAGCAAATGGGGTGTAACTAGTTGGTAATATTATTTTTAAGTTAAAAATTAGGCTATTTTAGAAGTTACATAAAGTTATAATTTAATAATTTTTATGTTTAAAAGTAGGTATTTTATATCAATTTCAAACAAAATAAAGAAAAATAACAATTTTTTTTATTTATTAACCAGACATAAAATTATTAAACCGGTTGTGCTACTAGCTTAGGTGGGAAAGTAATAATAATAAAAATCACCCTCCATGATCGCAACCTTTGCTACGTCCCTGAAAGTTTAGAAGAAAAGTGTTCAAAAGTAATATTCAACAATCTTATTATAAGATTTTTATACATTTAAAAGTGTACATAGTGTATTTTTAGTATGTATACCTACTCTTGAATTTTTTTAATACTACACAAAAAACAAATTACATTAATACACAAAAAATTAAACTTATTATTATCTTACCATCTCCTTCAAACTGACTCCAAACCCCGTCGATAAAAAAACACAGTAAAAAAACACATATTAAATTTAGCAACATATTACCAGAAAATAATGTATAAAACGTGGTTTTAGAAAATTTATACTAAATACAATAATTACTCCCCACCTAGAGTTTAATTAATTAATCCAGTGGCGCAACATGGCACATAACAAGACCTAGCAAGGTCACAAGGGGCAACTGCATGCCCTAAGGCGCCAAAAAATAAGTGTGGCTCGTTCTAATATTGCATTACATACAAGGCGTACCACAATATATGTAACTTTAATGTACACAAAATTTTTTTTAGCTAGAAAGTTGTAATTACAAAATTTTTGTAACAAAACTAATTGGAAAAATTCATAAAAGTTGTAAATGTGTCTTCTACGCATGTGGTGATTTCGCAGTGCCAACCTAAAAAGTTAAAGTTACCAGACCAGATTTTTAGGTTAGGATTCGTTTTTATATAGAAATAAAAAATCATAATACAGAATACAATTGTACATACATAGAATATTTATAAAAAAAAATCTACTTACTGAGATATTACACTTCACGGTGGATAGGTTTTTAAATGGCAAATTAATGAACTTAATCTTTTGAATTATAAAACAGCAACACTCTCATCTGCATATAAATTCTAACTGACCTTCAGGAATCACATGCATCTATAATGTCGTAAACAGAGGTTTTTGCTTATTTAAAATGATTAAAGCGCCATCCGTTGCATAAAATTTAAAGCAAAAACAGATTCACGGAGGATAGAATCAATTTTTGTAACACCTACATAAATGGTTATAAAAATTATTTCTCTTAATTTTTAATAATATTTTATATTTGATTCGATTGCTTTGGATGTGTTTAATTTACTTAGTAAACTGATATTTTTAGTATGTTTTTACTACCTCAGATATTTGTATAGGTTAACCTAGAAAGAGTAACAGTCGCGGAGGATAGGTTTTCGACTTTTAAAACGTTGTAAAAAATAATTAATTGCGGTTAAAAATCTGGAACCTGAGCTGTAATATCTACTTAATTATGAAAGATCAAAACACAATAAAAGTGTAGGTCAAACTCATTTAGTTTTATTAAATATCACAAAAAAGTTAAATTTTGGAATTAAATTGTTTGAATTATGATGCAAATTGTATGTAACTTACAATATATTCAGGGGTTCAAAATTAGTTTTCTCCGCCACTGGTACACCTATAGATATGGCTAACACTAAGGTCAGTCAGCTTTTTTTATTTTTCATTTGTAACCATTAATACAGCCACTGATTAGTTTAAATGTTACTGAGATTGTTAAGATATAAATATGTATATCTATCACCTAGACATTAATGTTATAATAAATTGTGAAACATTTATTATTTTTGTATAACTTGTTATTATTGGATTGTTTGTTTTATATCTGGGATTGCTCGAATAATGCAGCGTATCCTGCAAATATTATTCGAGTTAATAATGACTTACAAAACAATTTTAGAATTTTATTATAATTATAAATATCTGAACTAGATCTGGCCAGTTGGCTAACAATTTATCGACCACCTCGGCTTATACTGGTTGGGTATGGCGCAAAATTCCTCATTACCCTCCTTTTTCTTCCCTTCCATGAGCTCCAGTAAAGTTTTTTGAGGTTGGATGCCATACTTTTTCCTGATGTATTCGTTGACGTCTTTGGTTCTTTCCTGTTCGATTTTCTGCCTCTCTTCTTCCTTCAAGCATCGCTTGCACGGTTTTTCCTGGTCCAGGGTGGCTTCGTGTTCCAGATCGTAAGATTTATTTAGGTAATCGTCGTTGGCCATGATCAGCTCTATTTCGAATGATGTGTCGCTTAAGTCGTCATCTTCAATTTTCTGAGGTTTTTTGTTGAGCAAATGTTTCTTTAAGGAATTCATGTTTGTGAATGATATTTTTTGTATTGGATTATCTGCTTTTATTTGGTGTAAAGTGTACCTCATGGTTTAACTTAAGTACCTAATTAATAACTGATTGTATAAACAAACTTCGGTAGGTAACTATTTTCTTTACCTTCAATGTTTAACATTTTGAGATGCAAGGGATTAATCTCGGGATTAATCCCTTAAACAAGTAATTGTAAACATGTACAGTTTAATAAATAAATTACATAATGGCATTTTTAGCCCTAGCCTAATGGTTGTTGAATAAAAGAAATTAATAATAGCAAAGAAAAGCTGTTATAGAGGACAATCTACCAAAAAAGTTCTATTTAAGGATTTAGATATGGATTCCATTTATTACCTAATACAGTTTAAAAAAAAAATTATCTTTTACTTATACAGGTCTTTATTACAACACATTGCTTTGTATTTTGTCTTGTAAATTTATAAATGTTTTGTTATTACATTGCACGATAATATATTAATTAATGGAATGAATAAGTAAAATATTGGATTAGTCGAGTTCCTGAAGGTCAGTTAGAATTTATATGCAATTCATTTGCTATCCACCGTGAAGTGTAATATCTCAGTAAGTAGATTTTTTTTATAAATATTTTATGTATGCACAATTTTTTAAAAATATTAAGGTGTCAAAAGATAAAATAATTTATTTCAAATATACAAAGAGATGTTTAAAAAAAACATACGAAATCCTAACCTCCGTGAAGCTTTAATATTCAAAATTTATGATATCTATAGATATACATAACCATAATTGGTAAATTATAATTATGTAGTTAAAATAAACTTAACTGGTTAATTATAGTTTAAGTTGTCTTATAATTAAAGAGTTGTTATAAAAGCGTGAAATAACTAAAAACTACCAAAATGTGGAAAATAAAAGGTTTTCTAAATAAAAGATCGTTGAAAAAATCACATTGACTTTAATAACTAAATTATTACATAATCCCAAAAAATAAACAAAAAATAATCTCTCAACCCATAAACAACGTTACACAGGTAAATTTAACAGTTACCTGATGGGAAAGTTTAAATTAATCACGGCACAAAATCCATCCTTTAAAATATTTGAAAATTTTGACTACTACTTTAAATAACACAGCAAACGAAAAATTATAGAAGTGTATAGGATGACTCGGCGTTTGAATATCAAATCTTAAAGTTTTATCATAACTGTATTGAATCGTGCTTTGTTTTTATATTTTTCGGCTCTATACCTATGCACGACTATATTTAAAGTCAAACTCAATGGTGTCTTACAAGATACATTATTTTGATTTTCTATATTCAACAGAGGAGTAGAAACTCGACCCTTTCGAATGGTGCAGTCATATATGTCTCTAGAAATTATTAAAAAAGGGTTCAGTCCAATGGTGCAGCAACTTCGGATTCCTATTCTCCTCAGAGACATAGAAACTCAAGCTTTTCGAATTTTACTGGCAATGATTTTCGTTAATGTCCCCGAGAATTATACAAAAACAGCGCAATGCAATATCGCAACGGTTTCGACTTCTCTTTACTCTACCAAGTTATAGAAACTGGAGTCTCTTTAATACTGTTCTAGTCAATATTTCTGAGAGTATAAAAAGAGGGTGTAATATTGCAAGAAGTTTTGATCTTTTGATGAATGAATTTTCTCATTTCTCCATATGATTTTGTTGAAAATAGTTCCTTTCTTTGGTTCCTTTGTCTGATTTTTATTTACCGTAACAACTCAGGTATGTAAAGCACAGAGGATATGATGTTAAGTATATTTATGTATTATATAAAGTACCTATATTTGTATTAAAAATTTAAGAGGTTATGTTGAAAAATGATCGATATGCTATTAAACTTTAATAATTTAGTAATTAGGTCTGTTGGTAGACCCTGCACTATCTCCACTGGTATAGTTTTGTAATATTTAAATCTGGTTGATGAAAAAGTACACACCAGTGCAGGTTATTGTAGCATCTACGAACAAATGAATTAATGGCCCATTGGCAATTATTCCTTTAGGAAAAATATTCAACACAGCTTAATTAATTAATAAAATGAAAAAAATCACAATCATGTCGTATATAGTTTTTTTTAAGCATAAAATAATTTTTATATTAAAACTAGTTCAAAAGTGAAATTACGACCTCTATACTGTGGAGAGTATTGAAACGCTCGACTGACGAATACCACTCTATACCGTAGGGAGATTTAGAAATCGATATTCAAACGTGGCGTCATCCTATACACCTCTATAATTTTCCGTTTGCTGTGAAAGAAAAAAAATATTTTATTGCTTATTTTTTTGCATTTCAATTATAAAAGTACCTATTACTTTAACAGAAAAAAATGTCCCATTGGTTTTTCCCTAGAACTATCTCTACAAGATATCAATTAATATATATATGGGCGATTCTACAAAAGTTGGGCAACTTTTGACCTCATCTTGTTTTATAGTTTTCGGAGAAAATTAAGCAGTATTTTGTTATGAGAACATAGATAATATAATAAATATACTGTTCCAGACCGGGCCAGTCACTTTTTCAAACAGTTTCTGAAATATCTGTTTTTTAAATTTGAATGCAAGGGAATTCCCTTCACTTAAGTGACGAGTATACCAGGGTACTAATTAAACACATAATTTATTGGAAAATACAAGATTTATTGCAACTTTGAGCATATAATACGTTAAATATCTTAAAATCAAATAATAACACACATCCAAATTTATATGAGTTTATAATGACATTAAATAAACAAGTTCTGCGCAAGCACAATTTAAATTGAAGTTTGCGAAAAAAAGATAAACGAAACATCTAACACGGAACTGAATGATGAATGGGATACAAATTTGAGATTATAATTCGGAATTAATTTTTTTACTGATATTTTTTATTAGTGGATGCTACGTATCAACAAATCACATATAGCCTTATATAAATTACAATGAAATATATATATACGTAAGAAAATAACTACTCACCACAGTACTGACATTTTGACTGGAACTATACGTGCATTCGCCACAACTTCGTTGCTTGCATTGTTTTCAAGATGACTGTCGTGCAAAAGGCGGGCTCTGTAGGTAATTTTTTACCAACACTTGAGTTAAAACGAGGACTTGACGTTTAAACTTATATTTCGCAGGAATTTTGAATTTTAACATTGGACACAGAACTGACGGGTAAAAGTGAGTACAAAGATTATCATTTTTTTTTAAATTGCTATTTTTCGAATCTATGATAAAATACATTATTTAATGTTTTATATTTTGTAGTGAAAATGAAAAATTTAAGATAAATTGAATATATTTTAAAATAAAATCACTCAAATATGAACTAAAATAACGTTAATTTTACCATAATTGAATTCCCCACTTATTACATTAAATTTAAGGTTGTAGCACAATATTAGTTTGTTGCAAAATTGGTTTTCTATTTTTTTCCTGTTTAAAAAATGTGGCACTAAATAAAAGATCGTTGAAAAAATCACATTGACTTTAATAACTAAATTTTTACATAATCCATAGAATAAAAATAACAATATTTTCTCATCATAATCTCTATAGCTAAAAAATGCATTATTTAACAGTCTTATATTATTATAAACAATGGCACCGAGTCCAAAATAATAAAACCATTAATGAATAAAAAATATCAATTTTTATTATTATCATTCAACAAAAGAAAAAATACTGGAAAAAATGTTTAAAAAAATAACTTAGGAATTTTTATACATCGAAGAGGGATCCCAGCTGCCTTGAGGCATGTTGGGGGGGTTGGCAGCATTGCTGGGGTTTCCCCAGACATTTCCGCCGTTCGAGAACCAAGAATTCTCTTTGGGGGGCTCCGGGGCGGCCAGCCAGTTCCCCTGCAGGTTGTCGCCGGGCATGCTCACCGCCCAGTGCGAGTACTCCATAAACGGCACTTCCTGGGCAGACGGTTGGTAGCGCTGCTTCGGCGGGGCAGTGCTACCACTCGCGTAGCACGAAAAATCCTGCAATCTCGACTGCGCGTGCGCGAAACCGGGCGGCGGCCTGCTCGGATCGAAAACCACGTTCTCGAACGCGTTTATCATGCGGTGGTTGGCGCCCCTGACCGCGGGGTTGTTGCGCGCGTCTATCAGCCGGTGCACGCGCGTGTTGATCGTGTTGCACTGGTTCATCGACCGCTCGAAACGCTTGTGGCGCTCCTGACTGCAGTGTGCGCGCTTGCGAGATTGGTTTTCCAACTTTTTACCGCCTTTTTTCGTGTGCTCGTCGTCGTCGTCCGAAAATTCCTGCATCTCGTCCGGTACCTCCATGTCCCCTACCCAAGAGGCATCTGATCCCTTCAATCTATATATAACGAAAAAAATTTGTTCGTTTCGTCCAAAACAATTAAATAAATCATAATCCCAAAAATAAAACAAAAAATAATCTCTCAACCCATAAACAACTTTCCCCAGGTAAATTTAACAGTTACCTGATGGGGAAAGTTTAAATTAACAGGGCTCCCACGGCTAAATTACAAATTTTATTTAGGAATTTGGGAGGTTTTTTGTAAAATTTTAGGAGAAATAAAGTATGGAAATGAATTAAATAAAAACATCTCTTTACTACTTAAAAAATTAATACTTCTTTTGTTATATTGACTAGTTTTTTAGCAAAATCGCTCGACGAGTTTTTTTTTAATAAAAATTAAAAGTGATGTAAAATTGCTACTTTTGTATATATCTGAGATACATACAGGGTGTTATGTAATTAATGTTATATATTAAAATGGGTTGTTCCTTAGGGTCCATAAAGAAGCACCTGAAACTTATTTTTTCTAAATTCCAAAGTCTAAAAATAATTTATAATAACCTTTATCCTACCAAAAAGTACGCCACTGATCGACTAGGAACTTTAGGTTAATCTGGTGGATTTATTATGTTATGGTTGGTAACCACAGTTTTTCCAAAATCTCTCAAAAAAGTTGACAACATTGTTTAAATTTAGCTTAATTACAAAAATGACAAAATTAATAATGCAAATTGTCAATTTGGCGTTTTTATTAATTGTTGGTTATTTCATTTTTGTACTGAAGGTAAATTCAACTTTTATGACAGAATCTAGTGCATTTCTTTTAAATTTTAGGTTATGTTTTCAAATTGTAAATATCTTAACTAAGGGAAGTGCTTTTGTATTTATTTACACAAATTAAATGTTTAAAGTTTAACCTGTGAACTGGTCCCAATTTCATCTGAGTAAACAGATAAAAAAACTGATGAAAAAATTAATTTTGTGGTTATGGATTTCAAATTTCAAAGGTACTAAATTTTCTAATCATTGCTTAAGCTAATAGCTGGATCAGTAAATAAATACAGAAGGGTATTAGAGCTTTAAGGGCATAAAACTTTTGTATTTATTGAGTTTTTATTTATTTTTTGCAAGAAAAATTTTTAGAAACAATTTTTTACATCTGGCAACGCATAGCTACTTTGTTGGTTGGTATCCATGTACTCACAAAATACAGGTGTGCAGAGATAAACAAGTGTGTAACCAGTGGCGTATCACAAAAAATATAAAAAACTTCTAATGCATATTTTTTCTTTATCTTTGGAAAAACGTTTTTTTAAATATTTTTCCTTTATTCCTTATGTCAAAAGGTATTCAGTATTTTAATATATAACATTAATTACATAACACCCTGTATATATACAAGTATAAATTTCACCTCACTTTTAATTTTATTTAAAAAAATGCGTCGATAGATTTGGTTAATGCCAAATTCAAATGATGTTATCTTTATATTAAAAAAAAAACATGTTAACCGTTTAGTTAATAACTAACAGTAATTAAATCGATAAGGCTAAGAAAAGTCCAAAAGTAAAATTTTTGATAAAATATTTCAAAAAATCAGTTTTATAGTTCTAAATGCATTTTTGTTAGAATATTTTAACTATTTTATGAAATATAATATTCATTTTCTGTAAAATAATTTATATCTTCTAACAAAAATGTATTTTAAAGTTTAAAATTGATTTTAGAAAATAAATTGTCAAAATTAAATTTTTTGACTTGTACTGTTTTTATTCTCACCGATTCAATTGTAATGTGGATCTTAATACTTAAAAATCTCATAACAAAATATGAAGTTTGCAAAATACAGCAAAACATTCTTTAGATTGTTAACTATTTTAGCTGTCATTTAAAATAAAATTTAAAATCCTTTTGTTTGGTATATAACCCGGTATATTTATGACTAAAAAACGAAATATCGCTAAAAATGACAATTTTGTAGAAGTTTTTATGTTGTTTTTTAAGAAAAATTTTAGTTGTGATATTATATCATTTTAAAAAGAATTTAATAAAATAGAACCTCAATATATATATTTTTAAATTACTTTTGAAAAAAGAATTTTTTAGCACTACCTTAATTAAACACAGTCAGGTTGGACTATTTAAATTTAATTTTTAGGATTTTAGGAGTTTTAGGAGATTGAAGGCAATTTTAGGAGTTTTGAAGATTTAAGCAAAATTTTAGGAATTTTTTGAGTTTTAGGAGGTGTGGGAACCCTGAATTAATCACGGCACAAGACATTTAAAAAATTACCTACTATTAAACAAACTTAAAATCCATCCTTTAAAATATTTGAAAATTTTGACTACTACTTTGAATTTTTGCACCTAATAAAAAATAAGAATTCATTAAATTAAATCAAAGAAAATATTAGTAACTTGGTATCAACCATGGTACAAGAAAACAAGGTATGTTCTTGCGCATCTAATTAGAGTTTTTTAAGTGTATAAATGTCTAAAAGAGAAGTACTTGGAAATCCAATACATTTCCTTAGTATGAGCTTGAAAAATTGATGTTAAGGATAGTAAGTAGATTTATTTTAAAAACAATTAAATAGCAGTAGTTTTTTTAGAGGTACTTTCCTTTTGTATACACAGATCTGTATTTTTTAAGTTGTGATACCACTATAGATTCTAAAGCAATGTATAATCGTCAAACTAAAAGATCAAGATTTGTTTCCAACTTATATTTAATATAAGATAAATACAAATCTGTTGTTTTATAAAAAAAAAATCAAAAATTAAAACCGGAAATATTTTTACTTAAAAAAAATTAAAATTGTCATTTTCTTTAAGCATAATTTTTGTATTATGTGAAAACATAAAATATTTGAAGAAGAAAAATGATTTATAACGAAATAGAGAAATAAAAATCTGTTTAGGTTAAAATAATTAGAATGGCTGTGTAAAAAATTTAAATGACGTGATTTCGTAAAACGGTGAGCACGGGTGCTCAAATATAAATATATTTAGAAAAAATATGTTGTATAAATTTTTTTGCAATGTTAATGCTGTAACTTGCACTTTTTATTTCATTCTTTATATTGGTTTTAAAACAAGATATTTCATTTGATTAAAAAACCATAAAAAATATTTAATAATATTTTTTGAAAAATTTTATAGAAATTTGTATAAATTTCATACTAGAATATTATTTTAATTTAAAGGCGGGAATGAACTAAGATGGCGGTAACTGGGTGAACCAAAAAACATACCTTGTTTTCTTGTACCATGGTATCATATATTAAATTGACACGATATATCAAATTACATCATAATCGTGATTATGTAATGTGAAAATTTAAAAAAATTATGTAAACAATTAAAATTCCATCAATCAAATAAATAATTACAAAAACGTGACTGCCGAGAAAATTAAAAAAACACGAGCACAATTATGCAAGCAATACTCACTTTAACAGCTCCCTTACGAAAACGTACTGGGTGTGATTGCATTTCGGCGCCGAAAACACTTTCAATCCCCTCTCGATTTTCGCGTCCGAGATGTCTTTTTGCGAGTTAAATCTCACCGCATAAGTGGGCGAAGTGACCTGCCCTATGACGTCAAAAACGACGCCTAAAGGACGCTTGTCCTCCCCGTAAAACAACGGAGTGTCCAAGTCGTAGGCTGGAATGTTCGGGAGGGCTTCCACAGTAACTAACAAAAGACCACGCAAATTAATATATGTTTCCTCTACCATTTTTTTAATAAAAGTAGTAATTTTGCTTAATTAAATAATATTGTTTTTAGAGGTAAAAACAATGATGATACACTCACAGGCAAAATAATCGATCCACACAAATTTTCGACGAATTTCAATCGCAAATAACTTTTTTGTTTGATGTCGGAACGAATATTAAAGAATATTGTATATACTTTAATGGAGAATCGCTCACATTTTAAAAAATTACTAAAAAATACACGTACGTTTATAATATACAGGTTTAAACAAAAAGATGTTTTTACCATAAGTTTAAGACACTCTGTAGAGTGGCAAAACCGTATATTATCCTAAATTAAGTTTTAATTATCAAGTCACATCTATTTTTAACAGTTTTGTTTTTGATTCACCTCGATGTATTTATTTTTGTGGAAAATATGGATTAAAAAAAAAATATTGCAATTTCCAATATTTTTCCTGTATGAAGAACTAAGGTTGCTATGGTCCATCCATAGCCTATGGAGGATGACAGTGACAGCTTTGTTGAATCATCCCATACTGGACATATACAGCTTTCAAAAGCTATCAAATTGTTTTTTGTAAATAAATGTGTTAATTTTGAGGTGTCTTCTTACTTTTAAAAATGTCTCCGACTGATGTTGCCCTTTGTACTTTGCTTCTTGTGACGTTTAAAACACTTGCCACGTAATACTGTGACCGTCCATCCTGGATTAAATTAATGGCTCTGGCAACATCAGTCGGAGACATATCCATTTTTTTAAAGTTAGAAGACACCTCAAAATTTAAACATTAATTTGCAAAAAACAATTTGATAGCTTTTGAAAGCCGTGTATGACATGTCCAAGTATGGGATGATTCAACAAAACTGTCACTGTCATTCTCCATAGCAAATGGATGGACCATAGCAACCTTATACATCATACAGAAAAATATTGGAAATTGCAATGTTTTTTTAAAAAATCCATATTTTCCACAAAAATAAATATATCGAGGTGAACAAAAACAAAACTGTTAAGAATAGATGTGACTTCATAAATAAAACTTAATTTAGAACAATATACGGTTTTGCCACTCTACAGAGTGTCTTAAACTTATGGTAAAAAACATATTTTTGTTTAAACCTGTTTATTATAAACGTACGTCCATTTTTTAGTAATTTTTTAAAATGTGAGCGATTGTTCATTAATTTATCTACAATATTATTTAATATAATAATAATATAATTCATCGAAAATTTGTGTGGATCGATTATTTTGCCTGTGAGTGTATATAGGATAGGTCAGTGACATCCATATGAATGTATATTTTATTGGTTCATGTGTACCTATTCTATCTATGATGGCCCTGATGTGTCCCATATGGAAAAATTCCTCTTTTTCTGGATTAATGTTTAGTTTTGACATGTCCGGAACTGGCGGTAATAGGTCCAAACCCATTTCTTCTAAAATAGGATTTGGTTCTTCTTTTCCTTTAGATTTATCGGTTTTTTTGATGGCGCCCTGTACTTCAGATATAAACTCGATTTCTTCCCTAAGAAACATTAAAGAGAAACATTTTAACTATTCCCTTTTTCTCTGTGACGCGAGTTCTGGGTCACTCTGTATATATAATAATTAAATTTACGAAAGTGTGCATAACAGAAGCAGAAGTGAAAACAGATGTTAACAGTAAAATTTTTCGGAAGCATACAAATATATAAATTTTTTGTAAATTTTTATTTATTATTTTTATAAGCTTTTTAAAAACAAAATGGGGAACCAGATGCACAAGCGGATGTGTAAAATTGAGCAGAACTTCCGCAGATGCGAAAGCGAAACCAGAGGTCTGTTGCAACATTATTTAATGCCATTTATTTATGTTTCTTATTAGACTTATTAAAAATAAAAAACAAATTAGCAGGGCTTTTTTAAGTAAGTTTTATACAGTTATATAACTTATATACAGTATGTCCACGGATGTGGTTACAAAGAGAAAAAAATATATATTTTACATATCTTGATTTCAAACCCCCAGAAAATGTTTCACATTATTTGTATTGTCTATGGTTAATTTGCAATTTTGATTTTTCTTAAAATTTTACAGTAAATTTTTTTTGATAAAAGTAATTTTTCGTTAATTTGTAATTTTTTTTTCAACAAATCAATGTTATTATCACGGTAGATAGAAATCTCTCGAAAATACTTACGGATGTCATTAATTTTTATTTATGAAAAAGTATAAAATGTATTTTTGACGATAAAGTAGACAATAAAAATAATATGTCGCATATTCTAAAGGAATGAAATTTTCTGAAAAATGTAAAATATTTTTTCATATAACCAATGAATATTACAATTTTATTAACATAAAAATTTATGAAAATATTTGTATGTATAGTCACGGCCAAATCTATATGGGTGCACGTCATCAATGAGATATAATGACGTCAGCATTACCAACTTTGAATTGTAAAGTTACTGCCGTTAAATTTGCTTTTTTAAGGCGTAATTCTGATGTGTTATTAAAAAGAAATCATTCATTTGCGTATTGTTTACCAAAAACTTTAACAATTTCCTTGTTTTAAAACGTTTTTTCACGAAATTATCAAAATAAAACCATTCACTTAGTAATTTTTGTATGTGCCAGTTGGTAATAGCTTAAGGCTGGCGCGCACCGTTCAATATTATTGATGGGTCGCTGTCATTTTATATTTGACGTATTTTTGTAATTGTGACATTTCGTCCGGAAGCATCGTTTGTTGCAAATTATTATAAATAATATTATACATTATGTTTATAAGATTCTATCCCTGGATTGTGCAAACAATGATATAAGGCTTGTTAGCAACTAGCCGTTATTAGATTTCGAAGACATTGCGCCCTTATTAAGGGCCCCTTAATAATAAATTTGGGGAAATAATCAGACTTCAATTCTGACCTGGTTTGCTCTGATGACAAGGACGAATGGTAATTTATTATTTTTGTATTTTTTTGTTATGTGCATATGTAATAAAAATGTAATAAACTCCGTTTGTTTTCTCTTTAAACACATTTAATAAAAATTTGCCTGTAACAAACTCCTAATTAGTTAGTGCAGAAGATTATAACAAGGACTATAATTCCATCTTAATAACAGCCCCCACCGCTATAAACAGTCAACAATACACGAGCGTTAGATTGTGTCTGGGCACGTATGAATAGACCTTAACGCTGACGTCATATGCCGTTGATGACGTGCACCCATACAGATTTGGCCGCGACTATACTATGATCACATTAAAAAAGTCTTACTTTGACATTTGAATAAGTCAAACATTTGAGGTTATGTATGTCAGAATTTTTTTATTTTTTTATATTTTATGGGTTTTTCCAGGGTCCACACAACAAGGTCTGTTCTATCTCGTACTAAAAATACAAAAAATCACACAGTTTAACGGCGGCCATTTTTGTTGTTTACAATTTTTGTGCTTTGGGTTTGTGCTCTGTTTATACAGATTAATAATCGTTTTAAACGTTGTGTTTCTCATAGTAAGCCTTAAAATAGTCCTTAAAGTGCTAAGAACAACCATTTTACTCCTCTATTGTAAAAAATAAACTTTATTCTATCAGGGCTGTCATAAAACTGTCAAATGTCAAATTTAAGGTTAAATTATAACCCACAAATTAACCTTCAAATTGTCATTTGACAGCCCTGATAGAATAAGGTATATTTATTATAAAAGAGGAGTAAAATGGTTGTCCTTGGCACTTATTTGAGGCTTACAAGTGGCTCTGTAAGAAACCCAACGTTTAAAACAATTATTAAACAGCACAAACCCAAAACACAAGAATTGTAAACAACAAAAATGGCCGCCGTTAAACTCTGTGCAGTGTTGCAGTGATTTTTAGTATTTTTAGCATGAGATAGAACAGACTTTGTTGTTTGGATTGTGGGTTTTTCTGTTTAAATAAGAAATGTTCCCAACTTTCTATATCTTAAGTTAAAGACTACACTGACACAGTCACCCAATATAATAATATAAACAAAAATTCTTAAATATTTACCACAAAGAACTGTTTTGTGGTATTTACATTTGATATCAATGCATACCAAATTTATATTAAAAAAAAGATATTTGATAAAACTACATCATTTAAAATTCTTAAAATGTTCCCAACTTTCTATATCTTAAGTTAAAGACTACACTGACACAGTCACCCAATATAATAATATAAACAAAAATTCTTAAATATTTACCACAAAGAACTGTTTTGTGGTATTTACATTTGATATCAATGCATACCAAATTTATATTAAAAAAAAGATATTTGATAAAACTACATCATTTATTGCCTGAGTATTTATCATATAATCATATAATCTGACTCAAATAATAAAAACACTTAAACCAGACTAAATATTTGATTATTTAAGTGTAAGCAAGTTTTTTGCAAAATGTACCATAATTAATGATTAATATGAAATAATTTTTCAAATCCCTTAAAAAATAATTTAATTAATATAAAATAAAAAATCATTGAAAAAATTAAATTGTGTGCACAAAAAAGTATAAAACCTATGACCTTGATATTTCCATGTAACATTAGGCATAATTATTTTTAATAATACCTAAGTAGGTACTATAAATTATACAAATCTAGAAGCACACATGTCATGACACCTGTGAAAACTAATTTTGTGAATATCTCTGTAAATTTAGTTATTTATTTATAACCTATTAGGTGCAACACTTATCATTTCTCTGTATTTTACTTACTCTGTTTCATTGCTGAATTCAGATTCTGATTCGTCCGAGTCTTCCTCTGAATCCTCAGTGCCTGACACATACACACTGGTAGCGGATGATGTTGAATCTGAGCTGGAGCTCGATTCATCGCTATCATATGCTGTGAGGATGTTGCGTAGGGATGAGCTTTCGTTAGTGACAGTTACTTTGGATTCCTCTGCTTCTTTAGTGGATTCTGAGCTGATATCTAAATCGTCGACCTGTTTGGCTAGCAAGGATTCAGCTTCATTGTTGTTCTCTGTGCGTTTCTCGATTTGGGTCGTTTGAGTTATTTTGGCGGATTCCTGCAGGTTTTTTAGGTTCTCCCTTTCGACTTTTTGCTTGTTCACCTCGATTTCCTCGACTTCTTTCAAGTTTTCCATGGTTTTTTCCACCTCTTCTACACCCTGCACGTTTTCCACTTCTTTATCGCCTGACATGGCTCGTGTGTCGATGGCACTTTGAAATTTTGATGCGGTCGCACTAAATATGCCGTAACTTTCGCTCCGACACAGTTACTAACGTCGATTTTCGCCGGTTTTCTTACTTTACATGTGCTTTTCCCGACTTCAAAATGGCCATAGCAAACGAACCAAACGAAAATAGACCTAGCACGTGACTCTAACCGAACGCCATCTAACAATGACAGACGCAAGTTAAGCTTTTAAGTAAGTAAAACTGTAATTTAACAGAAAAAATCAACAATTATTGATAATTAACGGTAAAAAAAACGAAAAAATAATAAAGTTATTAAAAAAAACACCCTAAAAACCTTGGTTTTTAATAAATTACAATAAATGTCACAATGAGAGCCATCTATGTTTGACATAGTTTAACAAGTTCCAAAAATGTAATAAAAGCATTAAAAAAGCAAAATAACAATAAATATCGGCAGTTTAATCCTAAAAAATAAAAAACGTACGATAAATATCAACCAAACTAAGTTTTAACGAATTTCAAAAAAATATATAATAATTAATGTGAGTTGCCTATATTAATATACATATTTTGTGTATAGGCTATATTATATATCAGGCAAATGGGCATTTTTTTGGTATTCCCTTAATTTTTTTTTATCACATTTGCCTACATTAACAAACATTTACAAAGCTCGTTTTAAAAATAAAAACACCACACATACTTCTAATTATTGGTATGGATAACAAAAAGAATGTTGTTTTATTTAGTACGAACGATATTTCCACCAATATATTATTATTCTATGTGCATAATATGTTTTCATGGCTATGTTTTGTGTGGAAATTCAATGGTGTTGAAGTTATATGCAATAATGTCATAATTTTGGTAAGTTTTTTTTACATTTTTTCGGTTTTAAAATGATATTTTCATTCCTTATAGTATTGGTGATGTTCTTTCGCGATGGTTGTAATTTTTTTGGCAATTTTGATCATCAAAACCCATTCCCTACTAATTTGCGACGAAAATGATTTTTGCCCGCCTCAACCCATTGCTTCTGATTCAAACAACATTGCTACATTCGACGATTCTTATTCGGATTTCATACAACGAGATAACGTCAGTGGTTGCTACTGTAGATTATACCAAACCGCCATGACTTGTTTCGGAAGATCAAACTGTAAAAAAGTGCCTAAAGTGTTTGTAAGTCCAAAGAAGATACTAGTATTTCACACCTCTGCTCTATCAGAAGTAAAATACGGGGATTTCGAGATTTTCAAAAACGTATCTGAGGTGTATATCGAGTTTAACAACCTTTTGGTAAACCTGGAAGACAAGGTTTTCGAACCAATTGAAAATCTAACTTATATATCGATCTCGCACAATGTCAACCTAAGAAGCTTAAACAAAGGTGTCTTTTATGGCTGTAAAAACCTTCATAAACTCCTCCTCATAGGTAATGGCTTTAATGACATCCATGACGCAGCCTTAGCTCTTCAAACCAACCAAATACCCAATCTAAAAATATTATCTTTCAAGAACAACAACTTTGAGATCATCCAGGAAGATTCTTTCGCATCATTATACAACTCAACCTTAACAGTATTGAACATGGTCCTCTGTAGAATCGATTTCATACACCCCAGGGCCTTTCTGCCGCTCAAAAACCTGGAAAGCCTAAAACTAGGCTTCAACAGCTTTAACGAGTCCACAATAACAGACGTTTTAAATACAAGCATCCAAAACAACATACCACTGAAAAACCTGAACTTTTATTCCGCTGGTTTCGTGAAAACTCTACCTAGAGGCCTCATGGAAGTCCTGGCCAACTCTCAAGTCAACTATCTCAACCTGTCGAAGAACCGGTTTGAAGTTATCAATAAAAACTCATTCCCTGTGATGCCGAGTTTAAAGGTACTGGACTTGGCCGAGGTTTTGGCTTTGAGTGTTACCAAAGATGCGTTTGTAAACTTTCCCAACCTAAGGACTTTGATTTTGAGCTTAAATAAGTTTTCCGAACCGCCTAAAAGCGTTCTGCTTGAGAATATAACCTATTTGGACTTACAGCAGAATTCTGGAAGTGTATTTTTCTCGTCTGCCTTTACTGTATCGGGGTCTAGGTTTAAGAATATGAAGAAATTGATTTACTTAAACCTGGGCTATAATAAACTTGATGCTTTATATGAAGAAACGTTTTTAGGTTTGGAAAATTTAAAGTTTTTGGGTTTGAAAAATGGTACTATTAGAAGTATGGCAAACTATACGTTTGCCACGTTGAAGAAGCTAGAGTTTTTAAACCTGGAGAATAATTATTTTGTTAAAAATAACCCCGTAGGTATAGAAAACGATATTTTTACCGGGCTAGATAACCTTAGAGTATTACTATTGGGCGGAAATTATATATCATTTATTGCACAAAATTCAAACCCATTTGAAGGATTAAAATCTTTAATACACCTAGACCTAAACAAAAACGAAATAATATACCTGACGTTCGCAGATTTCGGTTCATTAATACACCTAAAACAACTGGATTTATCCTACAATAGTTTAACATCCTGGACTTCAAGAATATTCAAGAACAATACCGAGTTAGTAAAAGTTAATTTATTTGCCAACAAAATCCCTTTCATCACTAAGCCAATGTTGGAGGACTTTCAAAACCTAGATGAGGTTGTGATGAATGAAAATCCGATAATGTGTGAATGTAATCTTTACACAGAATTGGAAGAATGGTTGGAAAATAATAATGAAAATCTTTTCTTTAATGTTTTTGGAGAAAATCAACCACGTTGTAGCATCTCTGGGAATGTAACCGTGATGGACTTCATTGATAATGTTAAAAATGGACTTGTAGATTGCAATTCCAACGATTTGACAAGGAGATTGTACCTTATTTTACCTCTAGTATTTATATTACTTATTTTTTTGGGTGTAGGTTTAGGTTTATTTTATTACAGGCATCATGTTAGATATTGGTTGTTTTTAACGAGGTTATACCTAAGCAGAAAGGGCAAAATAACTCAAAAACCTACAAAGGAAAACCCAAAAACCTTCAAGTATGACGCGTTTGTTTCTTATAGCAGCGAAGACACAGCCTTTATAACGCTTCTGGTTAAAATGTTGGAGAAAAATCCACCACACCTAAACCTTTGTATATATGAAAGAGATTTTGAGATTGGCACTTTTATCAGTGAAAATGTCTTGGAAAATGTGTCTCAAAGTCGAAAAACTCTTTTGATAATCAGTGAAAACTACGCCAAATCCCAGTGGTGTCGATGGGAGACTCAGATAGCCCACCATCATAAAATATTCTTCCAAAATGAAAAAGACGATTCCTTGGTGTTAATTAAATATGGACATGTAAGTAATACAAGCCTAACTTCCACTTTAAAGTATTTACTAAAAACGAGAATATACTTGCAATGGGATGAGGATTTAAAGAAGCAAAAGGATTTCTGGGAAAAACTGGGAATGGCTTTGAAACCAAATATAATAGTTGATAACACACAAGTGTAAATTTTAAGTAAGTTTTTGTATTTAAAAATATATTTATTTATTTTCCAATAACTTATATAACTATAAGTTATATACAAAAATACATTATGTATTTTTGGAACGCCATCTGAAATTGTTATTTTCATTAAATTGGCGCTTAAACATTTTTGATTGTAAATGGATTTTAAATATTATAAAACCAAATAAAAAAATTATAGCATATTTTTTAAAAACTGGGGGCCTAAACTTTTTTATTTGTTAGTAAATTTTAAATATTTTTAAACCAAATGAAAGATTTTGTTTAATTTAGTATATTCTTCAAATCTTATTAAAATTCCTTTTAATATAAAAAAGTTATAGCCAATTTTTTAAAAACTGGGCGCTTAAACATTTTTGTTTCTAAATGGATTTAAATTTTTTAAAAACCAAATTAAAGGGTTTATTTAATTTAGTATATTTTTCAAATTTTGTCAAACTTCATCTTTAAATAAAAAAGGTAAAGCGTATTTTTAAAAAACTGGGCGCCCAATTTTTTTTATTTACAACCCATTTAAAATGAAATTTGATTTATTGCCTAATTTAAACTCGTTTTTTTTCAAATATCTAGATAGATTTTAAATTCCACCATTTTTAGAAATCTGGGCGCCCTCCAAAACAGAGTTCTAAAGTTGGTTTTTCTGTTAGGTAGGAATTCCATTGTGATTTTAAGATTTTTTGTAGTTGACTAGCATCGACTTCAGATGGGTATTTAAGAAGCATTTTCAATAAAACTGTCTAAAACTCTCTTAATAATCCGTGGTTTCGATGGGACCATCAAAATATTCTTCCAAAATGAAAGCGACGATTTATTGGTGTGTATTTAATATAGACATGTGTGTAATACAAGCCTTCCACTTAAAAGTATTTACTAAAAACAAAAATATACTTGCAATGGGCTGAGAATTTAAAGAAGGAAAAGGATTTCTGGAAAAAACTGGAAATAGCTTTAAAACCAAATATAAAAGTTGATTGATAACATACAACTGTAAATTTTGAATTAAAGTTTTTGTATTTAAAAATATATTTATTTATTTTCCAATAACTACATAATCTTTGTCTATATCAATACATTGCACATACGTCATACGAGTTAAATAAATTAATAAGTTATATACAAAATATTATTATATACAATATATTTGGTTTATACTGACATTACGAATATATCGTCAATAGAATCCATCAAGTAGTCAAATAAACAAGGTTAAGAAATCCAAAACTTACTTCTTCCAATGACAACGGGTTGCTCTTCATTTTGGTGTCCAAATTATGGTACCTCACATGGGACAAATGCAACCTCACCAAGGCCATAATGTAATTTTCTGTGGTTAAGATTCGATTTTTGGCGAATCTTAACACTAAGCATTCTAAAACCTTATTGCTAACTGTACACCCTGCTTCCCAAAGCAAGGCTCTTAGGTTGTAGCTTGATGTTTTTCCGCTGTTGTGGCTGCATTTTAGGAACGCCATCTGAAATTGTTATTTTCATTAAATTGGCTCTTAAACTTTTGTTTGCAAATGGATGTTAATTATTTTAAAACCAATAAAAGAGTGCATTTAGTTAAGTATACCCTTCAAATCTTATTAAATTTCCTCTTGAAATAAAAAAGTTATAGCGTATTTTTCAAAAACTGGGCGCTTAAACATTTTTATTTTATAATGGATTTTAAATATTTTAAGAACAAATGAAAGATTTTGTTTAATTTAGTATATCCTTCAAATATTATTAAAATTCCTCATCAAACAAAAAAGTTATAGCGTATTTTTAAAAAACAGGGCGCTTAAACGTTTTTGTTTGTAAATGAATTAAAAAAAAATTAAAACTAAACGAAAGGGTTAATCTAATTTAGTCTATCCTCCAAATTGTATTAAAATTCCTTTTAAAATAAAAAAGTTATAGTGTATTTTAAAAAAACTGGGCGCCTAAACTTTTTTATTTACAACCCGATTATAATAAAATTTGATATTTTGGCTAATTAAAACTCGTTTTTTTCAAATATCAAAACAGATTTTAAATTCGACAATTTTTAAAAACCTGGGCGCTCACCCTCCAAAACTGTAGCATGTGCATCATCACAGGTATATCAATAAGGGTTATTCTGCTGCTTACATTGTAATCCCTCAGCATAATAAGGCTTTTGCAGAGTTCCAAAGTTGGTTTTTCCGTTAGGTAGACCTTCCATTGAGATTTCAAGATTTTTTGTAGTTAACTAGCATCGACTTCAGGTGGGTATTAAAAGCATTTTCGAGAGAACTAAAAAAAGGTTAAAAAATAATTAATTGCGGTTAAAAATCTGGAACCTGAGCTGTAATATCTACTTAACTATGAAAGATCAAAACACAATAAAAGTGTAGGTCAAACTCATTTAGTTTTATTAAATATCACGGGGTAACACCATCCGGGGACATTTCGTGGGATTCACCCATAGGCTATATATCAGGCAAATGGGCATTTTTTTGGTATTCCCCTTAATGTTTTGTATCACATTTGCCCACCTTAACGAATATTTACAAAGCTCGTTTTAAAAATAAAAACACCACACATACTTCTAATCATTGTTATGGATAACAAAAAGAATGTTGTTTTATTTAGTACGAACGATATTTCCACCAATATATTAATATTTTATGGCTATGTTTTGTGTTGGAAATCAATGGTGTTAAAGTTTTTATGCAATAATGTGTTGATTTTGGTAAGTTTTTTACATTTTTTTGGTTTTAAAATGATATTTTTATTCTTTATAGTATTGGTGATGTTATTTCGCTATGGTTGTAATTTTTTTGGCCATTTTGATCATCAAGACCCATTCCCTACAAATTTGCGACGAAAATGATTTTTGCCCGCCTCAACCCATTGCTTCTGATTCAAACAACATTGCTACATTCGACGATTCTTATTCGGATTTCATACAACGAGATAACGTCAGTGGTTGCTACTGTAGATTATACCAAACCGCCATGACTTGTTTCGGAAGATTAAACTGTAAAAAAGTACCTAAAGTGTTTGTAAGTCCAAAGAAGATACTAGTATTTCACACCTCTGCTCTATCAGAAATAAAATACGGGGATTTCGAGATTTTCAAAAACATATCTGTGGTGTATATAGAGTTTAACAACCTTTTGGTAAACCTGGAAGATAAGGTTTTCGAACCAATTGAAAATCTAACTAAAATATCGATCTCGCACAATGTCAACCTAAGAAGCTTAAACAAAGGTGTCTTTTATGGCTGTAAAAACCTTCATAAACTCATCCTCATAGGTAATGACTTTAATGACATCCATGACGCAGCCTTAGCTCTTCAAACCAACCTAATACCCAATCTAGAAATATTATCTTTCAAGAACAACAACTTTGAGATCATCCAGGAAGATTCTTTCGCATCATTATACAACTCAACCTTAACAGAATTGAACATGGTCCTCTGTAGAATCGATTTCATACACCCCAGGGCCTTTCTGCCGCTCAAAAACCTGGAAAGCCTAAAACTAGGCTTCAACAGCTTTAACGAGTCCACAATAACAAACGTTTTAAATACAAGCATCGAAAACAACATACCACTGAAAGACCTGAACTTGTATTCCGCAGGTTTCATGAAAACTCTACCTAGAGGCCTTATGGAAGTCCTGGCCAACTCTCAAGTCAACTATCTCAATCTGTCGAGAAATAGGTTTGAAGTTATCAAGAAAAACTCATTCCCTTTGATGCCGAGTTTAAAAGTACTGGACTTGTCCGAGGTTTTAGCTTTGAGTGTTACCAAGGATGCGTTTGTAAACTTGCCCAACCTAAGGACTTTGATTTTGAGCTTTAATAAGTTTTCCAAACCGCCTGAAAGCGTCCTGCTTGAGAATATAACCTATCTGGACTTACAGCAGAATTCTGATAGTGTATTTTACTCGTCTGCCTTTACTGTATCGGGGTCTCGGTTTAAGAATATGAAGAAATTGATACAGTTAAACCTGGGCTATAATAAACTTGATGCTTTATATGAAGAAACGTTTTTAGGTTTGGAAAATTTAAAGTTTTTGGATTTGAAAAATGGTACTATTAGAAGTATGGCCAACTATACGTTTGCCAGGTTGAAGAAACTAGAGTTTTTAAACCTGGAGAATAATTATTTTGTTAAAAACAACCCCGTAGGCATAGAAAACGATATTTTTACCGGGCTAGATAACCTTAGAGTATTACTATTGGGCGGAAATTATATATCATTTATTGCACAAGATTCAAACCCATTTGAAGGATTAAAATCTTTAACACACCTAGACCTAAACAAAAACCAAATAATATACCTGACGTTCGCAGATTTCGGTTCATTAATACACCTAAAACAACTGGATTTATCCTACAACAGTTTAACATCATGGACTTCAAGAATATTCAAGAATAATACTGAATTGGTGAAAGTTAATTTATTTGCCAACAAAATCCCTTTCATCACTAAGCCAATGTTGGAGGACTTTCAAAACCTAGATGAGGTTGTGATGAATGAAAATCCGATAATGTGTGAATGTAATCTTTACACTGAATTGGAAGAATGGTTTGAAAATAATAATGAAAATCTATTCTTTAATGTTTTTGGAGATAATCAACCGCGTTGTAGCATCTCTGGGAATGTAACCGTGATGGACTTCATTGATAATGTTAAAAATGGACTTATAGATTGCAATTCCAACGATTTGACAAGGAGATTGTACCTTATTTTGCCTCTAGTGTTTATATTACTTATTTTTCTGGGTGTAGGTTTAGGTTTATTTTATTACAGGCATCATGTTAGATATTGGTTGTTTTTAACGAGGTTATACCTAAGCAGAAAGGGCAAAATAACTACAAAACCTACAAAGGAAAACCCAAAAACCTTCAAATATGACGCGTTTGTTTCTTATAGCAGCGAAGACACAGCCTTTATAACGCTTCTGGTTGAAATGTTAGAAAAAAATCCACCACACCTAAACCTTTGTATATATGAAAGAGATTTTGAGATTGGCACTTTTATTAGTGAAAATGTCTTGGAAAATGTGGCTCAAAGTCGAAAAACTCTCTTGATAATCAGTGATAACTACGCCAAATCCCAGTGGTGTCGATGGGAGACTCAGATAGCCCACCATCATAAAATATTCTTCCAAAATGAAAAAGACGATTCCTTGGTGTTAATTAAATATGGACATGTGAGTAATACAAGCCTAACTTCCACTTTAAAGTATTTACTAAAAACGAGAATATACTTGCAATGGGATGAGGATTTAAAGAAGCAAAAGGATTTCTGGGAAAAACTGGGGATGGCTTTAAAACCAAATATAATAGCTGATAACACACTAGTGTAAATTTTAAATTAAAGTTTTTGTATTTAAAAATATATTTATTTATTTTCCAATAACTACATAATCTTTGTCTATATCAATACATTGCACATACGTCATACGAGTTAAATAAATTATTAAGTTATATACAAAATATACATTATGTAACATATTATATACAATATCTTTGGTTTATACTGACATTACGAATATATCGTCATTAGAATCATCTGAAACAAAATTTTCATTATGTAGTCAAATAAACAAGCCAAAAAATCCAAAACTTACTTCTTCTAACGACAAAGGGTTGCTCTTCATTTTGGTGTCCAAATTATGGTACCTCTCATGGGACAAATGCAACCTCACCAAGGCCATAATGTAATTTTCTGTGGTTAAAATTCGATTTTTGGCGAATCTTAACACTAAGCATTCTAAAACCTTATTGCTAACTGTACACCCTGCTTCCCAAAGTAAGGCTCTTAGGTTGTAGCTTGATGTTTTGCCGTTGTTGTGGCTGAATTTTTGGAACGCCATCTGAAATGGTTATTTTCTTTAAATTGGCGCTTAAAGTTTTGTTTGCCCATGGATGTTAAATATTTTAAAACCATTAAAAGAGTGCATTTAATTAAGTACACCCTTCAAATCTTATTAAATTTCCTCTTGAAATAAAAAAGTTATAGCGCATTTTTCAAAAACTGGGCGCTTAAACATGTTTATTTGTTAATGGATTTTAAATATTTTAAGACCAAATGTAAGATTTTGTTTAATTTAGTATACCCTTCAAATATTATTAAAATTCCTCATGAAACAAAAAAGTTATAGCGTATTTTAAAAAAACTGGGCGCGTAAACTTTTTTATTTACAACCCGATTATAATAAAATTTGATTTTTGGGCTAATTTAAACTCGTTTTTTTCAAATATTTAAACAGATTTTAAATTCGACAATTTTTAAAAACCTGGGCGCTCACCCTCCAAAACTGTAGCATGTGCATCAACACAGGTATATCGATAAGGGTTATTCTGCCGCTTATATTGTAATCCCTCAGCATAATAAGGCTTTTGCAGAGTTCCAAAGTTGGTTTTTCTGTTAGGTAGGCTTTCCATTGTGATTTCAAGATTTTTTGTAGTTGACTAGCATCGACTTCAGGTGGGTATTTAAGAAGCATTTTGGAGAGAACTGACTTATTATCCGTCTGAAAAAAAGGTTGCATGAAATGTTAGGGATTTTTAAATGGGGTTTACCAGGATTGGTGATGAATTTTCGTCTACGAATTCAGAGGATATGTTGCGTATTATCACGTTGTCTTCATTTACTTCCCTGGAATATAATGAATATGAAATTTGTCAAAGAAAAAATGCGAAATGTTTACCAAATGTTGCTCTGTTCATCAGTGAAAATTCTGAGTAGGAATTTACCATCCAGATTTGGTATATTTGTTTGAGGGACCACTATGTAATCACCTGGAGGTAAAGTAAAGAATGTAACCACCTCCCTTGCTACAGAGTGATTGGTTACGTCCAGAGGTTTCTAAAAATAACATATAAAAGTAAATATTAATTATTGTGACACAATAGTTTACTTGTTCCGTCACAAAATGTGGAGTCAACCTCTGCATAGAATGAGGTATTTCATAGACAGCAAACCCAATAGCATATAAGGGCTTCTTTTTCTTTACATCTTGTATACTAGTCTCATAATACTGCGTAATACTAACAACCACATGACATTTATTACTGGAACTCCTGGGAATCTGAACGTGAAACTGCGGGTTCATAGCGGTGGTTTCTAAAATAAACCGAAAACATAAATCTGGCGCTTAACTTGTAAATTATCGTACCTGTATAAGTGGGGCCACCTCCAGCGTTATATCCAGCCCGCCATCTTCTACGCGCCAAAACAGCGCGCCAAGGCTGTTTGGAATGAAGCGCCCCTTCCATCATCCAATCGTCCGGCCCTATATGCACTAAATCTAGCTGCGTGAAATGTCTAGCGAAATCGTCGAATGACATCCTAAACAAAAATAGGTAACGGGTTTAGTGTACATTCCAAATTTTATTAAAATCCGCCTACAAAGAAGAGAGTTATGGGAGTTTTTAAAACAACTGGGCGCCGGTAAGATTGTTGTTAATGAAGCGATTTTAAGTTTTAAAACGTCAAAATAAAAAATATTAATTAAAGATTACAGCACAGAAACAATCGATAAAATCGGCCAATAAACAAACAAGTTTATAAATACTGGGCGCCAAAAACCTTGGGAGTTAATCGTCGAATGACATCCTAATAAAAAAAATCTAACGTGTTTAGTGTACTTTCCAAATTTTATTAAAATCCTACTATAAATAAGAAAATTATGGGAGTTTTTCAAACAACTGGGCGCCGGTAAGATTGTTGTTAATGAAGCTATTTTAACTTTTAAAATGTCAAAATAAAAAATATCAGATAAAGAGTACAGCACAGAAACAATCGATAAAATCGGCCAATAAACAAACAAGTTTATAAATACTGGGCGCCAAAAAACCTTTGCAGTACAAAAAATAATGACAGCGAAATCGCCGAATGACATCCTAATCAAAAAAATCTAACGTGGTTAGTGTACATTCCAAATTTTATTAAAATCCGACAATAAATAAGAAAATTATGGGAGTTTTTCAAACAACTGGGCGCCGGTAAGATTGTTGTTAATGAAGCTATTTTAACTTTTAAAATGTCAAAATAAAAAATATCAGATAAAGAGTACAGCACAGAAACAAGCGATAAAATCGGCCAATAAACAAACATGTTTATATATAATGGGCGCCCAAAAATATTAGCAATACAAAAAATAATGACACCGAAATCGTCGAATAAAACAAAAAATAGTAATGAGTTTAGTGTACATTTCAAATTTTATTAAAATCCGAGTTATGGGTGTTTTTTAAGCAACTGGGCGCCGGTAAGATTGTTGTTTATGAAGCGATTTTAACTTTTAAAACGTCAAAATAAAAAATATTAATTATAGAGTACAGCACAGAAACAACCGATAAGATCGGCCAATAAAAAAAAAGTTTATAAATACTGGGCGCCAAATAACCTTACAAATACAAAAAACAATGACACTGAATGAAAAAACGTTGTTTTTTTAGTATATATTTCTAATTTTATTGGAATCATATTATAAATATGAGAGTTATCGGGTTTTTTCAAACAACTGGGCGCCGGTAAGATCGTTATTTATGAAGCGATTTCAAATTTGAAAACGTCATATTAAAGAGCGTGATTTAAAGAGTACAATCGGTAAACTTTTTTAAAAATTCTTTCACCAAAATATTGGTAGTCTCACCAGAATTCTCCCTCGTTGGTCACCCTGACGCTAAGCAACTCTTTGTCGCGGTTAGAAAGTCCGTCCCATTCCCAGGATCTCTCGCTCCACGCCCCAGTCCATTCCCCTCTCGCCCAGGGGTTCCGAAGTCGAACTAGCGGGGTTTCACCTGTTGCGCCTCGCACTCTAGCCAATCCCGTCACGCTGTACGCGTGGTGCGTTATAAGGCCGTTGCGCAGTCTTAACTGGCGCTTATTGTCTTTTTCCTTTAAAGAAGTTTGTATAATTTTGCTATGATTGGGTTACAATTGTGGGAGTAATGTATTTAAACATTGGACAATCTAAAATGCTAATTAGCATCGTGATTTGAAATCGTGTTTGTATTTATTTAAATTTCGCAGTTTTTTAATACTATAATCGTGTTCTAATTAAAAGGTTTTTCGCTTACCTGAGTTATTGTCGCTATTAAGAGGCTAGACCTGGGGACGGCGCTGTTAAGCACTTGAAAAGTCAAGAACCTGTCCTGGTGGGTCAGCCCGAAACTTTGCACGATACCACCTGTCAGATCTTGAAGCGCCCTTGTCGTAGAGCCTTGCTGCAAATTTTCGTAACAACCATAAAATCTGCAATTCCAAAAAATCAGTAAACGAACCACCTTGGTATGTAAATGTTTTGTACTTGGCATAGGCTTTTTCTAGCAGGGCAGCCCAGAAGTCAGTATTATTTGAGCTGTGCAGGTGTACCAATCTACCCTTGTAGGTTGGTAGCCTGTCGTCTATCACTATGTCTCTCCATTCTCCAAAATGCCAGAAACGAAATCTGAAAAGTATAAAATGTTAACCAACAATTTTTATTTTGGCGCCCAATTTTAGTGGTTTACAATTTAAAAAAAAATCGAGGTGTAGTATCCACAGTTATTTTATTCCAATTAAAAAATCAACGATTCCCGGATTTTTTCCTTATGGCAGCATTCTTAAGACATTGATTGACAGTGGTACTATTTTGGTGCCACAGTAGCAAACATGTTATCGCTGTATAGCGGCCATAAATCTAATTAAATATCCCTACTAGAGTCTCTATCGTGTTCCGAGAACCTAGACAACGCGGTGTAATAAAGTACGCTGGATTTTTTCCCGCTCTCTCTCTCCCAAGATAAAATGCAAGAAATTATCTAGATGATTGCGTCCCTTAATTTGTTTAACAAGATCGCAACCGCAAATAAAGATCCCGGGATTAGAGCCGCAACGTAAATATAAATGCACGAGTCTCTCAATTCTATGTTATCGCCATCTTTGAATTCTATATAAACGGTCTGGGCACCATTATGTACCCCATAACTTTGACGTCCATTTAAGTCTTCCAAGAGTGAAAAATGCGTCGATTTTGGCGCCATAATCTTAAAGTTATACCAACGAAAATAGAACAGTTTACAATCAAAATCTGGGCGCCAAAAAATCAAATAATTTTTTTTATCGAACACACGGTACTTTTTTTCAGGTCTATGGCCACTTCTCACGGTGTTTTATACATAATTTCTTTACTTTTATGATGGCCAGTGATTGATGAATCGATTCGGACGCGCTAAAATTTATCGGCTCGCTCACCGGCGCGGACTTGGATAATTTAATTTATTGCCTCTTATTAAATCGACCGATAGTTATAAATCTCCGCGATATTCTTTTGTTTGCTCGAAAATATTATGTTTTGTATTGAAAATTTCATCCCGTACGCTTTTAAAACGACGAGTTTGGGATTTCGACGTAGTGGCGCCCAACTGTTTAAAAAGTCTTGTAAAGCAAGAACGTGCATGTAGGTTTATTTTCTGGACACCCTGTATATTGAAATCGAATTACAAAGACAGATTTTTAAACAACTGGGCGCCGGTAAAATTGTTGTTTATGAACCAATTTGAACTTTTAAAACGTCAAAATAAAATACGGTAATTAAAGAGTACAACACAAAAACAATGGATAAAATCGGCCAATAAACAAAAAGTTTGAAACTACTGGGCGCCAATTAATCAACTAATAAAAAATAATGACACCAAAAGAAAAAACAATGTTTCTTTAGTAAACATTCCAAATTTTATTAGAATCATGTAATAAATATGAGAGTTATCGGGTTTTTCAAACAACTGGGCGCCGATAAGATCGTTATTTATGAAGCGATTTTAAATTTCAAAACGTCATATTAAAGAGTACAGTATTTCTGCGATATACTTTGTATGCTCAAAAAAATAATGTTTTTGTTATTGAAAATTTCAATCCAAACGCATTTAAAATTTCGAGTTTAGGATTTTGACATAGCGGCACCCAACATTTAAAAAACCTTGTAAACCAAAAAATTCTATGTTGGTTTAATTTCTGCACACCCTGTATATCGTAAAATAAATATTTTTTTATTTGAAACTAAATTTTATACAACTCGCTGCAATATAAACAAAATTATTGCAATTTATCAAACGGTGGACGCCAAAATGTAAAAAAAATAACATTCTTGATTTTGGTCAGTTCTCAGCGTATATGAAACAAATGACGGTCGATGCAATGGTAGGATCAGATTTACAGTAACTTGATCCAACTGTTTAAAAAGTCTTGTAAAGCAAGAACGTGCATGCAGGTTTATTTTCTGGACACCCTGTGTAATGAAATCGAATTACAAATGACAGATTTTTAAACAACCGGGCGCCGGTAAAATTGTTGTTTATGAACCAATTTGAACTTTTAAAACGTCAAAATAAAATACGATAATTAAAGAGTACAACACAAAAACAATGGATAAAATCGGCCAATAAACAAAAAAGTTTGAAACTACTGGGCGCCAATTAATCAACTAATACCAAAAATAATGACACCAAAAGAAAAAACGTTGTTTCTTTAGTAAACATTCCAAATTTTATTAGAATCATGTAATAAATATGAGAGTTATCGGGTTTTTTCAAACAACTGGGCGCCGGTAAGATCGTTATTTATGAAGCGATTTTAAATTTCAAAACGTCATATTAAAGAGCGTTATTTAAAGAGTACAGTATTTCTGCGATATACTTTGTATGCTCAAAAAAATAATGTTTTTGTTATTGAAAATTTCAATCCAAACGCATTTAAAATTTCGAGTTTAGGATTTTGACATAGCGGCACCCAACATTTAAAAAACCTTGTAAACCAAAAAATTCTATGTTGGTTTAATTTCTGCACACCCTGTATATCGTAAAAGAAATATTTTTTTATGTGAAACTAAATTTTATACAACTCGCTGCAATATAAACAAAATTATTGCAATTTATCAAACGGTGGACGCCAAAATGTAAAAAATTAACATTCCTGATTTTGGTCAGTTCTCAGCGTATATGAAACAAATGACGGTCGATGCAATGGTGGGATCAGATTTACGGTAACTTGATCGAATCTGATAGAGCAATAGTTCGTAGTGGTATTGGAAAAAGGAGAAAGAAGAAAAGAAGGAATCGAATAGCGCGAATCATAGAGAGATAAATCGGAGCGGCGCGGTGCGCATACGTATAACTGGGGACAGGTTGTGTCGGACCCCATAGAAAACATAAATAAGTCAATTACTAGTCGAGGAATTTCGTATTAACATGGCTATTGTGCGGTTGCTATCCGCTAGCCGTTCTTCTCTGATTTCTATATGTATATATATATATAGATATATATTTATATATAAACTTACACAATAATATTTTTTTATGCTAGAGAATATTTTGTAAAAGTTATATCTAGTTTAAGTTGACATTCTTATGATTGATTTATCTACATTTTTGCATATTGTCATAAGAGAGTTATGAGAGTTTTTCAAACAACTGGGCGCCGCTAAGATTGTTACTTAAGAAGCGATGTTATACCTTCCAAATTTTATTAGAATCATATCAAAATAGTAGTAGAACTTTTAAAACGTCAAAATAAAAAACGATAATTAAAGAGTACAACACAAAAACAATGGATAAAATCGGCCAATAAACAAAAAAGTTTGAAATTACTGGGCTCCAATTAATCAACTAATACAAAAAATAATGACACTAAAAGAAAAAACGTTGTTTCTTTAGTATACATTTAAAAATTTATTAGAATCATGTAATAAATATAAGAGTCATCGCGTTTTTTCAAACTACTGGGCGCCGGTAAGATAGTTATTTATCAAGCGATTTTACATATTTAAAAAGTACAGCACAAAAATAATTCATATTATTGACAAATAAACAAACAAGGTTTATAACTACCAATTTTTTTATTTATATCAGACGAGCTTTTAATAAAACTATTAATTTGACATAAAGAGTTATAAGGGTTTTTTTAAACAACTGGGCGCCGGTAAGATTGTTGTTTATAAAGCGATTTTAACTTTTAAAACGTCAAAATAAAAAAACAATAGTAAAAGAGTACAACACAAAAACAATTGATAAAATCGGCCAATAAACAAAAAAGTTTAAATATACTAGGCGCGAAATGACAAATGTAAAAAAATAATAGCACTGATTTCTTTAGTACACATTCCAACATTTATTAAAATCATATAATAAATAGAAGAGTTATCGGGTTTTTTCAAACAACTGGGCGCCGCTAAGATCGTTATTTACGAAGCGATTTTCAATTTAAAAACGTCATATTAAAAAGCAAGATTTAAAGAGTACATCAGAAAAACTGATAAAATTGACAAATAAACAAACAAGGTTTATTACTACGAAGCTTTATTAAAGTTTCAAGCAACTGGGCGCCGCAAGATTGTTATTTATGAAGCGATTCTAACTTTTAAAACGTCGAAATAAAAAACAATCATTAAAGAGTACAACACAAAAAACAATCGATGAAATCGGTCAATAAACAAACAAATTTAAAAATACTGGACGCTAGTTGATTAACTAATATAAAAAACAATGGCACAGAAAGAAAAACCGTTATTTCTTTAGTATCATTTCAAATTTTAATAAAATCATTTATTGAATACGAAAGTTATCGTGTTGTTTGAAACAACTGGGCGCCGGTAAGATCGTTATTTATGAAGCGATTTTAAATTTTAATACTTCATATTTAAAAGCGAGATTTAAAGAGTACAGCAGAAAAACAATCAATGAAATCGGCCAATATACAAAACAGTTTGAAAATACTGGGCGCCAATTGATCAACTAATATAAAAAACAATGGCACTAAAAGAAAAAACGTTGTTTCTTTAATATACATTCCAAATTTTATTAAAATCATATAATAATTAGGAGAGTTATCGGGTTTTTTCAAACAACTGGGCGCCGGTAAGATCGTTATTTATGAAGCGATTTTTAAATTTAAGACGTCATATTAAAGAGCGTGATTTAAGGAGTACAGTACAATTGATAAAATTGTCAAATAAGCAAACAAGGTTTATAATTACTACCAAAATACTTTTTGCCATATCAACTGGTAATGAGTAAAAAAGACTTTTTCAATACATCTCTTACTGTGCATACACATGTTGACAAGATAAATTTTATTTTGTTTAGATATTATGGGCAATTCTTAAGCGGAAACAGTTTTCACCCGCTTTGAATTATAATAGAATTGAGTACTAAAACTTGTCGTTGTCTTACAGATTTATCTGAAAATTAAAAAATGGCGTACTTACATAAACACTCCGCAATAGGAAGCCGTAGTATCGAAACCTTGTTCGGGTGGTACAACCCGGTCCAAAAATTTCGGAGTTAAAGCCAAAGATGCTACAGCACTCAACAAATATTGGTCTCCCAACTCGCCTGCTTCTACGGCAAATCTGTACGTTTCTGGGTTTGTTTCCGCTATAAATTTTGGGCGCTGGCAAATTTCCTGCAAACAAATGAATCGCATCATAATTACAATTTTTTTAAACGTCAGCCCCATTATTATTTTCAAAATCCGTATCAGATTGAAAATATACATTTTTTATTTTTATTTGCAGTTAGATAGCGCATTGCATTGAACATATTTCTTTAGGATCTCCAGTAAAGTGTGTAGTTAGGTTGTATCTCAAAGTAAATCTTCAGACTGCCGATAAAAAATTAAAGGTATGCCACTGTGTGTGCACGTTGGGGCGAAATTCGCACACCAAAGTCTTTTACAAAACATCTAATGATAATTGTATGGTTACATTACAATTTTATGGGAGTTGTAAGTGGTTATTTTTGGTATAAATCAGGAGGAACTGTAACAAAATCGCCTTAAAACAAAGTTTGTTGTTGCATCCATTTAAAAACATATTTTCTTTCATTGTGCAGAGCTGGGATAAGTCGCATGTTTTTCTTATCGCCGCACAATAATTCTTAAAGCTTACACTGTCTTATCTAATCGCGAAGATTTTACTTTTAATTAAAATATTTCTATAATTAGATTTGCGCGAAATTTTCTACTTACGTGAGGTCGCATCCATACTAACGGTTGCAGGGACGGTTTTTTGTGGTGGTACAGGGATTTTTGGTTGGTGGGAAAGTCTGGGTCTTCGTACAGAGATCCTCTTTCGCGACATGTTCTTTTGATGGCCTGGTAGTTTGTTGGTGGGGTTCTCTGCCGTTCTGTGGTGCAATATCTGGAAGATAAAATGTCATGGATTCAGTGTTTTCTTTTTGGTACATTTGGTGCTTTGGTGGTACATAACTTTTTTATTTGATGTCAGATTTAAACGAATATTAAAGAATAATGCACAATCGCTCACATTTTAAAAAATTACTAAAAAATAGACGTACGTTTATAATATACAGGTTTAAACAAAAAGATGTTTTTACCATAAGATTAAGACACTCTGTAGAGTGGCAAAACCGTATATTGTTCTAAATTAAGTTTTATTTATCAAGTCACATCTATTCTTAACAGTTTTGTTTTTGGTTCACCTCGATATATTTATTTTTGTGGAAAATATGAATTTTTTTAAATAAACATTGCAATTTCCAATATTTTTTCTATATGAAGACTAAGGTTGCTATGGTCCATCCATAGCCTATGGAGGATGACAGTGACAGTTTTGTTGAATCATCCCTTACTTGGACATGTCATACACGGCTTTCAAAAGCTATCAAATTGTTTTTTGCAAATTAATGTTTAAATTTTGAGGTCTTCTTACTTTAAAAAATGAAATGTCTCCGACTGATGTTGCCAGAGCCATTAATTTAATCCAGGATGGACGGTCACAGTATTACGTGGCAAGTGTTTTAAACGTCACAAGAAGTAAAGTACAAAGGGCAATTTCAGTCGGAGACATTTTTAAAAGTAAGATGACACCTCAAAATTAACACATTAATTTAGAAAAAACAATTTGATAGCTTTTGAAAGCTGTATATGACATGTCATCCTCCATAGGCTATGGATGGACCATAGCAACCTTAGTTCTTTATACAGGAAAAATATTGGAAATTCCAATGTTTTTTTTTAAATCCATATTTTCTACAAAAAAAATATATCAAGGTGAACCAAAAACAAAACTGTTAAAAATCGATGTGACTTGATAATTAAAACTTAATTTAGAACAATATACGGTTTTGCCACTCTACAGAGTGTCTTAAACTTATGGTAAAAAACATATTTTTGTTTAAACCTGTGTATTATAAACGTACGTTTATTTTTAAGTAATTTTTAAAAGTGAGCGATTCTCCATTAATGTATCTACAATATTTTTTAATATTTGTTTAAATCCGAAATCAAATAAAAAATTTATTTGCGATTGAAATTAATCGAAAATTTGTGTGGATCGATTATTTTGCCTGTGAGTGTACTTTAAGGACTATTTTGGTACATTTTAATAAAAATTTTCAATATTTTGCCTATTTTCAATAAAGTTACTGCTTTGTTTCCCTTACTTTTTGGTCATTTTCTAGAACTCTGTTTCCTGTCTTACAATAAATAGCGTTATTAAAATCGGCTATTGTTATTTTCCTTAAAAGAGGGAGAAAGGGCCAGCGCTCTCCTTGGTGAACATAACTTTATAATCCAGTCTGTGTTATAATCTTAATGATTTCACTTGTGCGAGTGAAGTGTGGTAAAATCTAGCATGATAAAAATATCATAATTCAATAAACAATTAATTTACATAAATTTTATTAATATTATAAAAAAAGTTTCTATGAATAATACCATTAGGGTTTCATTAATACTACAAAACGTAAATTTACTTTATAATTAATGCAAATGCTATTACTGAAAGCAGCGTTAGTATAGATAAATAATTTTTATAAAAATGATCTTTTTGCCGTAACAAAAGCAATTGTTGGACGAATAGGGATATTTACTTTATTAAGACAAACTACTTTTTTTGTTATGGCGTTGTTATGAAAAAAAATCAATTTTGTTCGATTTTTCTTCTGTATACTTTTATCTAATTGAAAAGTGTTAAGACATAACAATAATTCCTGAATAAAAAATAAAACGGCGCCCTATATGCCTTAGATATTGGGAGGCTGGAAATGGTTATTTCGATTGTTCCAATCGATTTGGATAATTATCTAAATTGAACGTTATACCGAGGTAGGTATTTCAATTACGGGCCCGTGGAATCCGCGAAACGTTCTCGGTTAGATCATAATGCCACGGTATGGGTCTCTCTCCGGTTGTTCTCTGTGCATTTCCTGGTCCGCGTTACTTCGAATTGAAATTTTCTACGGTTGCCGCAGCGCCGCATTGCTGCCTCGAAACTTACCAGATGGATGCTTTCACACACTTGTTGCCTGAGCTCTCTTCTACATCTATCTATCTATCTATAGGCCAGTGTTAGATACCGTTTTGCAAATAACCGATTTATTATTCTTTTTGCTATGTACCTATACAGTTATGATTGAAAAATAATGCCATATGATTTTTTGGTATCCATTCTGTGAAATTAAAGATTAATTAATTTTAGGTTTTGGAATTGATTTTTTTAATATTTTTGGTGAATTGTAATACTTTCATCTCACCGTTGTTTAAACAGGCTTGATAACTATTTATACGAGTTTTAAAAAGGTTTATTTTAGAATACATACTATACAACAAAAATTCCTAAAATTGATTATTATATAAAAAAAGTAGATACAACAAAAAAATTGCTAAAATATTTGTCAATAAACTGTCAAATGTATTACAACAACCACAATTACCAAAAAAATATAAAAATAAACATAATAAATCAGCCAATCACTGATGCCTAACAACTTAAATAATAAGTTCATTATTCCCGTTGTTAGGCGCGGCGGTTATAATAAATATCGTTATACATTATACAGGGTGTTTCACATTCGTGCTTCATTAAAAGTTTCTGGGGAACAGAAAAAGATCGATATGAAATTTTAAAAGCGTTTAAAATTCTACAGAAAATTCTGAGTTAAATTACTATAAAAAATGTAAATTTTTATTATTGGACATATGTCCAATATCATCCTCTATTTGTATCCCGGACATTTACCAGCCAATTCTTATGTATAATTGTCCCCTGAATCCGAAAAGACCGTCAAAAATTATATAAATTATGCAGTTTTTGAGATATAGTCAATTCCATATTATATGTAAAATTGATTATATTTTAAAAACTGTTCTACTTTTATAACTTTTGACGACATTTTCGGATTCAACGAATAATATTTCATAGGAATTGACTGCTAAATGTCCAGGACAAATTGCTGTTGACATCGCTATGACTTTTTTGACTAAGAGTAAGTAATATATTAATTTCTTCGTCACAGGACATCTTGCAGAATAATAGTGATACAGTGCATGATAGAGAACATAAAAAACTAATGGCAACAAAATTAATAGATTCGGAAAATGCTTTTAACATACCACCCGAAAAAATATTAGATATATATAAATCATCCTGTTCCGGCCTAAACATTATAAATGCTTCAGAAACTAGAGATACCACACTTAAGTATTAATTAATGATATTTGAAATAAACTATTTCAGAAGTCAGACCAAGGAATTAGTAGTTACCTTCAGAATCCAGAAAAGGGATGAGGAATCCGAGAAAGAAATTTATAAATTCTATGATATTTACAAAAACAAAATTAAAAAAAAATCCCAGAACAGCAATTTATCTTTAAAAAAAATTTAACAATTTACCTATATTATTTGATGTAAAGTTGTTATGTTTATACATATAAAAATTGTATGTCCAATATCTATAAATAAATTTTATATTTTATTGTCTCCAATGAGCTAGTGCTTTATCTAGTTGACATCCCACAGCTTTTTTTTAAACTTTTAAATGCTTGTCAATGTTTTTATAATTTACTGACTGCTTTTTTATCAGTAATATTGTTTACAAAACACTTAATTAGTTAACCAAGTGTTTATAACGACCTGAAATATTGACGCCATTAAATTTTAAACAATGACAGGTTACGTGGTAACCATAGATACCGTCAACCTACCCGGCAGAGCTTTCTTGATACAAAATAATTAAAATTTTAGAAATTGTCAAGTAGGTATCTCTAAAATTATTAACTTTAGGTAGTTACATTAATCGAAAGATTTTTTAATTTGCTATTTGATTAGGTAAAAACATTACATTTAAAATAAAAATTTTATCGGGTAATTTTTTAAACATTTGACATCTGATCAGACAAACCAAATTTAACCTTACTTTTTCCCAATTTATAATCAACAAATAAACTTCAGCTCGTGTCAAAAACGCCATATAGTCACAGCTTGTCAATGTCGGATAAATTTTTAAACTTGGCAACATTGCACTAAAACCCAATACTGCCAACCTAAAACTTGACAAATTGGCACCCACTGCGATTTAATCGCATTAACTGTCAAATATGACAAATTTAACGTAACAAACATGCTTTTCTACATTGTATCCCTAATTTTGGCCACGTCTGTCCTAATCGTGGCAGTTTTAATATTCGTGAGCGAAGATTTATCGGCGTTCAAGAATAAATACGCTTCGAGAACCTTCGAGCTGCCCATCCTAAGCCCCAATGGGCAAATATTGAACACTGTAGACGATTTGGAAGAAGAACTTAGTTATTTGAAGGAGAAATTGGACGAAAAACAAAATGAAATCGAAAAGTCAAAGTTAAAAGTTTGCACTGCATCGGACAGTTTGAAAAAGTTGGGTGAAACATCGGACGAAGTCAAAAAATACTACCTAAAGTTAAAAAACGACATAATAAAGTCGGAAAAGGAATGCCTAGACCTACAAGACCAAATACAACTGTACAAGGAAAAACAGAAAAAACTCAGGCAAGAAGTTAAAGATAATGTGAAGTATTACTCCAACATACTAAGCAATATAGACCTAAAATCCATAGAAATGCAGGATTATGAAATTGTACAATAATTAATATCAATAAAAACCTCACCTAGACAAAGTCGACTGTTTATCCTCTGGTTTTACGTGCCCATTCATCCACGCCCTTCCATTACCATTTGACGCTGAAAAAAGTACAACAAAATCGTTAAATTAACCTTAAAAATGCGTTTGGTTAGGTTAACCACGCCTCTTTTAGGCAACCATGACAACCGTCGTCATACGCAACCTTCGTTGCCACGCTACGCCTTCGTTCCTTAGCAACGAGTAAACAAATCACGATAAAGTGCATTCGAATGTGTTTTTTGTTATTTTTATCGGTGATCGATGAATTATGTCATTATGTTGTTAGTAGTTGTGCATTTTATGTGCGTTTTATTTGATAATTCGACTTACAAAGTTCGGATTCGCTTGGTTTTTCCAAGTAAACGTGTTGATTTTTCAGGGTGCTGTGTATTTTTCGTTTTTCCAAGTCACGTTTGAATTTTATTATGGTGCATACGTTGTCAGCTATCTTTCTATTGCCCCTGCCGCCTAGATAAAACAGAAATTACTAGAATTGCTAGGTTGCCAGGTGTCCTGGATCTGTGTTAATAATTATAATTTAAACAAATTAATGATAAAAAATATTTTATTTTTAATTTTTTTTAAAAAATCTTACTCTCAAGAACCATCATGGGGGCATAGTTATACACCATCCTATTATTAATATTCATCTTAATAATAAAAAATGCCCACTTTTTTAACAAACTGTAAACCTCACAGGTTAAAAACTAAATAACTACTACCTACTGCGTTTATTAATAACCAACTATTTTCCTATGCTATAACGAGCAATTACGATAATTGTTAATATATACATAGGAATCGTCCTTTTAGAAAAACACAATGTCAAATTGTTTATAGTTATAATCATGAATAATTTATAAATTTTTTAACCTTCAGTTAAAGATGTTATGGATTGTTTTGGGAAATAAAACGTCGCGTCGCGTGTTGGGACACAAATTTGGCCCTCTAATTTTTATCAAGACTGCTGATTTGAAGTTTAATTGTTTCGCATGCAAGTGAAAATTTTGGGAATTTTAGTTTCTAGAAAAATTTGAAAATTTTGTAAAATTTAAAAATTTTGTAAAATTTGAATTTAAAAATTTTGTATATTTTAAAAAATATAAATATTTTATAAACTTTAAGCATTTTGGAAATTTGTCCACCTTTTTTTTTAATCTAAGCTACTGTGCGAATTTGTCCCACCTTTTTCAATGTATGCTGTTTTTAATTATTTAATCGTACCTATTTGAATTTGGACAGTTTTTAATGAACTTATTTATACATTTAAATTTAATTTAAATAATGGTCTGGTTTCAAAATTTTACATATATTTTAAGCGTTTTTTGGTATTAAAAGTTGATGATTATTAAAATTAACTAACAGAGATATTTACGATTTCATAACTTTTTCACAAAATTTAGCATTTTTCTTCCATAATGTACTGTTATTTATTAAGAATTCGAATTAATAGATATAAGATACTAATAATTTTTAGAAAAACAACTTATAACTGGACTTGGGCACATATGTTATGACAAGCTAATTGGATTATTCAAGAACATGTAGAACAGATATTACTGTTACATCGACCATTGATACTAAATTTAAAAAAAAATGTAAAAAAACTAGTTTTTAAGTATTAAAATATGTAAAGTGTCTTCTTTAGTCGTTAACGATCAGATAAAAAGTGATATGTATAAAATCATATAAACACATAAATTTATGTAAGTATATTTACATAAAAATATCTATATAGGGTTTTGGAAACATTGACTTTTTTGGGAAAATTTGAATTTTTTTGGAAAATTTAAAAATTCGCAAATTTTAACAAAAGGAATATTTTTCATGTTATTTATAAATAAATGCTTCATTTTTACTTTTGTTTCGACCACTAGCATTTTAAACGAAAAAATCGTATAGTAAATAAATTTACTATAATGAAGCAGCAATGTTGAGCTTTTATAAAAAAAATGTTTATCCAACAAAGTAATAGTTGTTATCATATTGCCTTGGCAATAAGAAATACTTCATGTTTATATTAAATCTTTGTCGAACTTAAAATGTTTTTGTTAAATCTATAGTTGTTATAGTAAAATTTGTTCATTTTACCATGGCATATTTGTCTTTTTTAAATTACTATCGTTGTAATTCAAATTATTTATTTCAGTTAGAAAATCTTTGTTAATAGCAATGGTAACAAAGTTTTTGTTATTCCCTTAAAAAGAGGGGGAAAGGGCCAGCGCTCTCCTTGGTGAACATAACTTTATAATCCACAGTCTGTGTTATAATATTATTGATTTCACTTGTGCGAGTGAAGTGTGGTAAAATCTAGCATGATAAAAATATCAAAAAGATCACTAAGAAAATTAAAATTTCGACGTTTTCTAAAAGAAATATTTAAGGTATATTCTATAAACGAAGCAGACTTGTTGTTTAAAAAGTGAGTTCATATTTTTTTTTTATTTTGTACATCATATAATATGAGTTAATGTTTTGTTATAATTAATAATTTGTTTTAATGCCTTGCAATTATTTAAAAAAAACTACCCAACAGCCAACAGTAGGTTAAAAATGTGACCATTGTTACAATGAAAATAGTTTATTGAATTAACAATTAATTTCTTGTTAAATTTACATATTTTATTAATATTATAAAAAAGTTTTATTTTAAACGAAAAGGGATTTGTAAAATTTACAAAATTTCTATGAATAATACCATTAGGGTTTCATTAATACTACAAAACGTTTTTGTAAACGGTCTATAGAACTGTTTTTTTGGGCAAATAATAATAACTATATTAATCAATGCGTTTCTGCATCTGGGAGAGTGTTATTTTTATAAACATAACGTAAATTTGCTATTACTGAATGCAGCGTTTGTAGATAAATAATTTGTACAAAAATGATCTTTTTGCCGTAACAAATGAAAATTTGGAAAATTGGAAAAATACAGAGCCTAGTTATTATTATATGTATGTATATCACCGCACACTATGATTTCTAACAACGTTTGAATACCGTGGAAAATTGAGATGTGAAGTTTATGCGGGGGTGTGCGTCCAATTTAGAATCATTTGCAATCTAAAATGACGTTTCGAGAAACAAAAACACTTCCAGTCTAAGGTTTCATCTGTTTAATTATGATTTGATCCATTGTTCTAGGAAAACACTACGTATAATTTATGTTCGTTTTTTTGTATTTTGATTGGCGCATAAAATTGATGCCCTTGGGGTTTCGTAGGTAATTTCTAGTTTTTAATTAACAATTATAGAATAATTAAGTTGGAAATTAATAAACCTACTTAATATTGATAAACGTATTAGTAGGTAATAGAAAACGTATTGATTAAGTAAAAGTAGGTTTTCCGCCTTAAAAGTGTCACTTATGGCTGACCTATGTATGACCTTAAGAAATCAACAAAAATAACCTTGAGATACAAAATTTTGATTTTATAGGTTGGCTATACTTTAGACAGCATAATATTTTGCATATTGGTTATAATATTTTTATGATTTGTCTAGTACTTACGAGGCAATAAATTTTGTTTAACACCGAAGAAAATCCTTTTTTTTTTAACAGTAACAGCCGCTTATTGTAAATAAGGACGGCATGGCGAATCGATTTTGACATTAACCGTCAAACCAATGTCTGTGATACCAACTATCTAAAGTAAAATTCGACCAAATTAAATATAAGGTATAAAATTAATTTTTTTATAGAATTTTTGGAAAATAGATAAAATAGCAAAATGACGTCTTATGACATTGGTTCTTTAATTTAATTATTAAACTATTTTTCAAAAAATGTCACCTACACCCATATTTTTCCACAAAACCTCCAAAATCTTGTCTTAAATTGCACAACTCTACCTCGCACTTCTCCAGTCTTTCGCAAATAAAAAAAACATCACCACGTTTGCAGGAATTCGCCGCATTTTTCCAACGATTTTCATTCATCTTGAAACCCGTACACCAGACTCGCTAAATCTTGCATCAAAGCGCATAGCAAGTCTCTCGAGATTGTTTATGAAAATTAAAAGGCCTCCTTCGCAAAACAATAAGTAATTTGTAATTACCTGTGATGTAATAATGCTGTAATTGCGTTTTGTAAACGTATCTTCCTCCATTTAAAGGAACTCTAATCTAGATTTAAATGCCATTTCCACATTTATTACGCTCGAAAATGTTTCGTTTTTGTGTTGAACGTTATAAGAAACAAATAAGAATGTTGAGAAATATTTACGTGATAAAATTAACAAAAAATAAACACATGACTTTGATGGAGTTTCTTCGGATTTTGAATGCACTATACATAGATGTTTAATTAGTATTCCTTGTGCAAAGGTTATTTATTTTATTATTTGTTGTGATTACTTATACAGGGTGTTTTACATTCGTGATCCAAAAGTTTTTGGTTAACGGAAATCAATATTTGAAGTTTTATAAGATAAGTGTTTAAAAATATACAAATCATTATTTATTTTGCATTTTTATTATACGAGGTGTGTTCAGAAAATATCGGGAATTTTCGTTTTTTGAAACAAATATTTATTTATTCGTCTACATTTATGTTGTCGCCTTTAAAATAGTCCCCATTGGATATTATGCACATGTGCCAGCTCTTCTTCCAATACTCGAAACACTTCTAAAACTCGATCTTTGAGATAGCCTTTAGTTCTTTTAGCGATGCGGTTTTAATGTCATCTATGCTTGCAAAACGACGGCCCTTTAAGGTTCTCTTTATTTTTGGGAATAGGAAAAAGTCAGACAGAGGCATATCCGGCGAATATGGAGGCTGGGGCATCATTACAGTATTGTTTTTGGCCAAAAATGTTGTTCAAAATTTAACAATTTTGGAACAAATTTTGCTGCCACGCGTTTCATACCCAAAACATTCGAAAAAATTTCATGAGATGAGCCAATCGATATACCAACATCATCAGCGACTTCTCTGATGGTTTATAACCATTTCTTCCACTTTTTCCATGTTTTTATCGGTTGTTAATGTGCTTGTGCGTTCGGGGCGTTCGTCATCTTCAACGTCTTCAGGCCATCTTGGAAACTCTTATACCACTTGTAAACTTTGTTTTACTTATAGCAGACTCACTATAGGCCTTTGTTAACATTTCACAGAATTTATTTCATTTTTTAACGAACGAAAATCGCCTAGCTCATAAAACACGTCTAACCTTAGCGGCTGCCAAAGACAAAGTAAACAATGAACACAGCTAAAGTTTTTATCATACTTCGGGGGTATGTATACCAACATAATAATAAAATTTTATGACAACCGGACCCTCCGAAGCCGCGAAATTTAACAATTCCCGTTATTTTCTGAACACACCTCGTATACATATAAATTGTTTACTGTGTAATAACAAAAAAGTTATAAGTGCATTTATCAAATTTTAAAAAACAAAAAAATGAATAATAATAAAATCATTACTTTTTTTGTTAATAATCGTATTTAAATGAAAATTTCAGTTAATACTAATAAAAACTCGACGAATTCAATAAATTCAATGAAAATCGTGTAAAATGTACAACAACGGAATATTCCGTACTTCTAAAACTCATCGCATGAATAGCACAGTATTTATAGACAAGTTATAGACAGCTCGAGCTTTAAGGCCATAATAACCGCTCACCGATGTTTGCTATTGACGACAACGTCATATTTTAGTCTATGTTACCGCTTTTTGTAACTGCCTCGGTACCATACTTAGATCG